AGCATGGTGTCTCATCTCACCCAGGTCAAATACATAGCATGGTGTCTCATCTCACCCAGGTCACATATATAGCATGGTGTCTCATCTCATCCAGGTCACATATAAAGCATGGGGTGTCTCATCTCACCAAGGTCACATATATTGCATGGTGTCTCATCTCATCCAGGTCACTTATACAACATGGTGTCTCATCTCACCCAGGTCACATACATAGCATGGTGTCTCATCTCACCCAGGTCACATATAAATCATGGTGTCTCATCTCACCTAGGTCACATACATAGCATGTTGTCTCATCTCACCCAGGTCACATACATAGCATGGTGTCTCATCACACCCAGGTCACATACATAGCATGGTGTCTCATCTCACCCAGGTCACACACATAGCATGGTGTCTCATCTCAACCAGGTCACATATATAGCATGGTGTCATCATCTCACCCTGGTCACATATATAGCATGGAGTCTCATCTCACCCAGGTCACATATACAGCATGGGGTGTCCCAATTCACCCAGGTCACATATATAGCATAGTGTCTCATCTCATCCAGGTCACATATACAGCATGGTGTCTCATCTCATCCAGGTCAGATACATAGCATGGTGTCTCATCTCACCCAGGTCACATATATAGCATGGTGTCTCATCTCATCCAGGTCACATATAAAGCATTGGGTGTCTCAACTCACCAAGGTCACATATATTGCATGGTGTCTCATCTCATCCAGGTCACATATACAACATGGTGTCTCATCTCATCCAGGTCACATTCATAGCATGATGTCTCGTCTCACCCAGGTCACATATATAGCATGATGTCTCGTCTCACCCAGGTCACATTTACATTATGGTTTCCCATCTCGCCCAGGTCACATTTATATCATGGTATCTCATCTCACCCAGGTAACAATGACCTTTATACCCTCACTCATGATGTTTCATACACCATGGTGTCTCATCTCACTCAGATAGTCTATAGTTTTCAGTGGATTGGGCTAAAACATTGGACAGAAGAGTTATGCATATATAATTCGATTTGTGAGAAAATGGAAACATTTCATTGTTAATAATACATAGAGTCAAGTTTAAAAAAATCATTTATCTTACTCAGTCTGTTAAACTTTGTTTTACTGATATATGTTTTCTTTCCTTGTCAACAGGAAGTGGGACAGAAGGGAGATATGATCTCTAAGCTGGAGCAGGAGAAGGCAACTCTAGTCCGTGACCTGTTTGAGGCAAGGTCCCAAAACAAACCAACTAATTACGATGACACAACATTCATGTGAACACAGACCAGCCATTTTGAACAACACGTCTTCCATAGAAACACACCCCTACAAAGTGCTATAAGAATTGTATACAAAGGGAACGGATAAGTGTGGATGAAGAAGCGATAAGTGCAGAAGAAAAAAGCTTTAGTTTTAACTGTATACATCAATTTTGTATTGTACCATATTATTACATGTAATATAATTTCTTTTACATATAGAAAATTGGCACCAGTCTACTTAATTTATTTTTTTAGAATAATTTGCTTTTATTGGCACACAGAAGAAACTAACCACAAAAAAGAGACACAAGTAAATTTCAATTATCTTTCTTTTTTATGGAATAGAATATTTTCATTGCGTTACTTGCAAGTTTTCTGACAATCGTTTATGTATCTAGCATGACAACTTTGACTATGGTACTTGTCACAAGAGAATGTTTTCTATAAAAAGTGTTTAAGAAGAATTGTGTCAGTTATATCATTTATTATTAACTTTAAGTTCTGTACGTGTTATTTATAAGTCACAATTTGTGTATACATCTGTAAACATCTATTTATGGAATCTATTAATAAGCAGCATTGCAAAGCACTGGTGATAGTTAATGTGTGTATTGACAGAATATGTGGAGACACAGTTAAAACCTGTTCCACCTAGATGTGGTAGTAGAATCACCTTGTTATCCACACATAGAATTCTCATGGCCTTGGTACAGCTAACAGCCATTGGATGTGGTGGGATTTAAAGTTCATCAAAACACAATGACGTTGCCTTGTTTATCATGTTTACCAAATTTATTAAGCCATATTTGATTGATAATAACAGAAAACGTATTATAATTTAATGCTTTGTTGAAATACTGAAAAATCAGCACGACACTGTGTAAGTTAACTCAGTTCATTTAGTTTTCATTGTTTTATGGAAGAAGTTTTTTTTACATTGTACAAGAGAATTGAAGTATATGAACAGCGACAATGCAACAGAAAAAGCAATATTTTGTTCTTTTATAAATGATTAAGTGAACGGTTGTGAACATGACAAGAATGTCTGTGTTTGTAAGTTGACGTATTTTAAGGTGAGATTGTATGGTGTAAAGTGACGTTTATTTTGGCAGGTATTTGAACTTGTTTGTACATAGCATTATTTTTAGATATAGAAGTATGAATGTCCGAAGTAAACCTTATGTTTTTATATTTTATATACATATCAAATGTTGCATTATTCTGTAAATACCATACTCTGTGTAATCCAGTTTTATGATAGAACCCTGCAGCAGTATTTGTACATATTGTGTACGTTTTTGTGTACATATGTAGTAAAGTACCGACTTGTGCCTGAAGCTATGTGTTCAGAATGGCAATAAAGTTGTTGTCACAATTTTCACAAGTCATAGTGGAGTTATCTCCCCTTGTGATGTACAGATTTTAGAATTTCGTGAGTTGAATGTCTGTTTTACAAATCGATTTTAATCTGAAAGGGTTGTGACCTTACACCATAAACTTTATTGAAAACAAGTTAGCCAGCATTGTGTAATTAGATACGAGATATACATAATAATCACAGTGATTACTTAATAACATCATATTTTACAACATTTATATTTTTAGCAGTTATCCTATGATTTAAAAACAAATACCAATATTCTAATTTTATACTTCTTCATTTAATCACAAACTTGTATAATGAAACTATGAGACTACAGTTTAATATGTAAAATTACTTTGTGATAATTAAACAATTTAGTTTAAAAAAATGTTCATGCAAGAAAGATTGTTTTTCAGTTGTCAATAGTGAATAATAATTGTGATAAAGCTTAATTGAAATTACTTTTAATGCAATATACATCAATTCAAAATCTCTGAAACCCCTGCATGTGGTAAATGTAGCACTACAGGCAGCCGTTTCAGAGATTGTAATTTGATGTGCATTTCATCAAATTCAGTTGTACTCCATACAATTACATTCTTCAATAATGTATCACTGCATTATACAACTGAATGTAATCTGTAACAGCATTTTAATATCAAGCTTCACCCCAGATTTTACAAACAGATGCGTCTCTATATCGCTTTAATGAATGAGCTCAAATTTCTGGTAGATTCACTTTAAAACTTGATCACTGTAGAAAGAAAAACTTCGCCATTTGTTTATTTAACTGATGGATTTAATGTAGAAATATACACACAAAATGTATGATAACTTAATTTTATTGACAAACAAATCCTAGCAATTAGACTTTTATTTTATTGATGGAGCAGAAATAACATCCTTTACATTGTTTTACCCACCCATTTATCATCATTTTGATGAGATATATTTAACTGGTCAATTTAACCTTTTTGATTGGTGATTTGTAGGATCTTATTTTTTATCATGCATTGATCATTTCTAGAACATGTTTGCTATTATAGTGTTCACAGTACCATATCAACATGGTAACTATATAAGGAATCTGAACAAAACATCTGTCAGATTTGTTTTCATCAAATTTAAAATATTTTATATACCTGTCATTTTATTTCACCTTTGGGTTTTAATAATTTTAGAGAATATTATCAATGTTTTAGTTCATAATTTCTTGATGTTACAAATATGGTATTATGCTTGTGAAAAGTAACACAATATGCAGCTGTTACAATTATGATCTCATGTCTGTTTTTTACATATAAGTAAGAATATTATGTATTTTTACATTTCACACATTTAAGAGATAGTATTACAAAATATTACAACAAAGATATTACACTTAAACATGTTAACACCAAATGCATTGACTTTGAAGATGTAGTTAGTCACGTTTCTGACAAACTTCTTGGAACATAAGGAATTTATTCTCTATAATAGGTTACAGATTTAAACATGCCAGGGGACAATTACTGCAAAAGTGGATTATTTTTGCGTTGAGTAAATCGGCATGAAAATATCCACATGCAAATTTATAGGATATATGTATTATGGATATAACGATTTCTTACCGGTAACCAATGCCAATCTGAACATTTCTACGATTATTTTTTTCAAAAAGTTGTAACGCGAACATTGCTACACGTGAAAACTTACACATTTACGGTATTTTACTTTGCTATGAGGAAGAAATTGCAACAAGTGTGTCTAACTGTATGCTGTTTGTAACTTCTCTAGTCCAGTAAATGGCGATTATAGTTATCAAGGTATTCAAAATTTGTAAGGAAAAAACAAGAATTACTGTATTTAGAATCTATGAGTTGACTTGTCCTAGTAAACTGTATTCTCTCTGTAGTTTCGATAGAATTGGCAGTAAATTGAAAAGTAAAATAAACAGCAAGACAATAATGTGAAGTTATTTAATCTGACACCAAATTGACATTGGTTATGTAACTGACGTATCGAGCCTGGATAAAATTGACGCAGGGATAATTTTTTCTTATGAAGCTTGTTTCCTAAATCCCATGAAATGAAATGCCTTTCAAAAATAGCAAATGAAGTTCATACATGAATGCAATTCAAACTCCCAATTTGTCTTGGAAAGAAACTTGCAAGTTGACAATTTGTATATATTGCCATTGGAATTTGGTTTCATTAATTACCCTGTAAGCAAATGGTTTGACACAGACTTAAATTATCTAACTGATCAGGAACTTCCTAATTAATAATTGTACATGTCTATGGTGGAGTACAGGAAAACATTTCTATAGCAATTATTGTTTTAGATATGTACAACAAAGATATATTCTTATTACCTATATCATGTAAAAGTGTTTACATTTGTTTACCATTGATAAACTTTATATATAGAGAGATATACAAACGTTTTATATGCACTTACCAATACAATTAAATTGTTTATATCTGTATTTGAGTGTTCTGTCATTTTAAAAAAAACAAAAAAACATTGGAAAGATATTTCAGACAAGGTAAAACAAATTTTCCTCAATTAATTGAACATTTTACAATGTCTAGAGTTACCTCCCTTGTTACAGTCATTTTCTTGACGCACTGGTAACTTTTGATTAAAAAAAATAGACATGAAAGCATTTGGCTTGCTATATTTGAAAATGATATGCAAACTGCCACCAAAAACAGAGTCACTTCTGCTTTATACCTTGTTATTTTATGATGGTAGATTTTTTGTGTTCTCTTTCGATATATGAACATCTCATAATGCATTTGTTGATTCATGGTGTCTGCTCAGAATTCCATTTTGGCCACTTTCCATCTGACAACAGCAGTATTTAGAAATCATTAAAGAAAATGCTGGTCCATCTTTGTTCATAAATCAGGCGTTCAATCTGAATTAACCGTTTCACCACTGTAGACCATAATGGACTCGTCCATATCGATGCATGGAAGATTACTTAAGGTGGCTCCACACTTTCGCAATTTACCAGCAAAACTCGTTGAAACTTTCATATAATGGTTATGCAACTTTCTAGAGTTAATTTTATGAAAATGTAAACATTCCAATAGTTTGGGGACTTTTTTGGAAAAAATATCAAAAATTTGAATTTTCGCCACTTTTAATATTTTCCGTTTTTTTGTGTGTATGGCATTGTTTGGAACAATAACAACAATAAAAAAAATGAAAAGAAGCATTTATAATTAACCCTATAAATGTTTTATTTATCGTAAAATATGTAACACATGCTACACAAAGTGTTGTTTTTTTTATTGAATTTGAACGGATAAAAGTTATTATCTACCAGCTAAAAGCAAACAGGACACAAAGATCTATACATATAGAGTGGGAAATTGAACAAAATATACACAATGGCTTTATAATTAATTTATTTTACATTTTACAATCACTTTGATCCGGGTGAGAGTTATCTTCCTTGAAAAAAATCGGAACTTTTTGCAGAGGGATGACATTTACACAATGACAGTTGTCTCTGTTTACATATAACAAAAAGGATCGAAATAAATCATAAATATGATATCAAAATTATCAATTTATTGTTCTTTAATGGAACCAAATTACCCTCAGTCATGTACACTTTGGACATCATTCCATAGTCCGCTAACTGACGGTATATTTATAATTACATGTCAGGTACATGTCATATGTGACCAGAGGCTATCGCATGGTATGCCGTTCTCACGTGCACTCAAACATGCATTTCATAAGTATCTTGATATTTTACAAAACATTATTTTCACAGAGTAAGTAGACTACATTTGTAAACACGATTTAATCGACAGAGCGAAACTCCCTCAACAGCGAAAATCGTGACGACCTCGAGCTTTTAAACTCGTGTAAGCACGTGATATGCACATGTGAGGTTGGTACGTCCGCATTACATGTGTTTCCTATATAACCTTCTTGAGGTCGTCTGGTCTCATGTCACTGTTCTCCCGTGAGTCTGTTTATGTCAATGAATTGGAAAGCTTTATTCCTGAAGTACGTATGATTATACATTTCCCGGTAAAATCTCGATATCGGGTGTTAACATATCATCGGCATGCACGTGTACTATTGTTTACCAGGGCCTGTTCGTTTATGCGGAACAACTGGTTTGACCGTTTATAAATGTAACAATTTCGGGTATAAATCTGGCGGACCTGCAATTGTGTATGCAAGCCTTGCAAGGCTTTCTCAAGGCTCGCCTGAAAGCAGCATCAGATTACTAGGTCCTACCTTATTTAATAAACGAACAACAGTGGTCCGATCGGTTTGACCGTTTAAACGAAAACGGCCCAGGTGTTACTATAATATGCACTACGATATTGAAAGCCCGATACGCAATACGGAAATGATGACACGGTGTACATGCACATTTCGATCAAGATAATTGAGTCCGAGCTGTACTTTTTCCGGAAGTACGTCACGAAAATGGACGCTGATGACGATGTGTGGAGCAACCTTAAGTTACATAGGGGTGAAAGGATTGATAGGGCCGACTCTTTGAAGAAAATGGTATATATGCGATGCAAGGATCATAGGCAGGCCTACAAGAATGCAGTCCTGATCATACTGGCGGAAGAATCAAAATGTTGATCAGGACTACACATTAGCATGCTCTACATATTTGATAACTTAAAAAAAAACTTACTGGATATACAATGTATATCTATATTTACATTTGTTAAGCGAAATCAATTTTAATGCAATATAAGTGGGGTTACATATCAGCAGACTTATATTTTGAGAGAAAGAGCATTATATTTGTGAGATGTATGGGTAACGTATCGAAGGTCCACGCTACTTTCTACACCAAACTTATTTTACTATCAATTTGTTTCACTTCATGTGCCAAATATGGTGAGAGTGAAAATCTACTTTGTCTCTAGCCTCGTTGCCACACAAGTGGCAAACAAATGGACGGCTGGTATCGACGTGAAGTGTCTTGTGGACAAGGTACATAGTGAAATCCCGGAAGATGATGCTACAGTGTTTACACTCGAACACCTTCCTTGCCGACTCCATTTCTGCAAATAGGAGATCGGCGTCGTCTATCATTTTAGTCTGTGTGTGCTTCACAGACGTGGATACTACTGTAAGCTCTGAAGTAGAAGGCGTATCTGGCCTGGTCAAACGTGGTTCGTCAAGAGTTCTGTCGAAGATAACCGACGTTTTCACAAGCTGTGGTGTAATTGAATTATACACAGGCACCACATTGCCAATCGTGGACGAAGATGGAGATGAACTTGGCTCCTTTCTGAAAGCAGCAACGTTTGTGATTCTTGGTAAAGGCAAAGGACTAATAGCTGCATTACTTATCCGCAAGGATGAAGAATCAGAACTTCGATCGTTCAGAATTCTTTGCTTTGCTAGACTTGTAATTTCTTCGGTAGAACCCATATTCAGAACACCCAATGCTGATGTAAACACTTGCGTTGTTTGAGGTTCATCAGTCACTTCTGTCTTGACAGCGATGACATTATTAGGACCATCGTTAGGACTAGTAGATAACCCAAATCCGGTTGCACCTAGTCTGCAAGTACCTGTTTCGATGTTACCAGGTTCACAGGAATCGACAGATTTGGACATGACCTCTTCAGCATCATATTCATAAGACCTTTCCTCTACGTAACTGCCTCCTGTAGAATCATCAGAAATAAATCTGGTATCATGATATCTAGATATACTTAATCCTCGACTGGAGTCGATACTGTCGATCCCTTTAGGAATTGACTGTTTTGTAGTACGATTACTTTGTGATAATGGCTGGCTAACCTCAATTCCTTGATCTGTTGATCTAAATAGACCTGTTGGAAATACCACCCGTGTCTGGCTCCTTTTCTGGATGTTTTTCGATGGAGAAGTCTTCATCGATGGGAGACCATTTGAAAGCAATGTCTCATTTGCTGCAGTTTCGTTTCGGTAGTGGTTGCCAAGCACCTCTATGTCAAGCTCAACTGAGTTATCATCTTGGTCATCTATGTTTTCATTGACTACTAAACAACTGCTGTCATCATTGCCACTGGTATCTTGGCTTTCTATTCCAGTAGCTTGGACCATCCTGCTATCCCCTTCCTCAAGCTCTAATGTGGTATGGACTGAACCATCACTCCCATCATCAATGACAGCCGAGTTATTTACAGCGTATGAATCATCCGGTTCCGCACAACCGGTTCGTCGTAACTGACTTTTATATTTGTGCAGTTTGAGTGCGTTGACTGATCGGAAAATTGTTTTGCATTTCTTGCATTGTAGAGTGTCTTGCCGAACGTGAAATTTCTCATGAAGATTCCGTTTTCTACCTGTTGTGAAAAACACATTGCACATACGGCATTTGTACGGCTTTTCACCCGTGTGAAAACGGACATGAACTCTTAGATCATAGGAGGTGAAGTAAAACTTCAAACAAATTTCACATTGATATTTCTTCAGACCTGTGTGAAACAGGATATGCTTCTTGAGAACACTCTCGTGCTTGAAGGTTTGTTGACAGATATGACAAGTAAATGGTCTCCATGTCAGTGCCGCCAATTTCTTCTCTCGGTTCATGTGACTCTGTTCGTGTTTGTTACAACTTCCCTTGCTGTTAAAGCGTCGTGCACAGAATCCACATTCGTATGGTTTCTCTCCGGTATGTATCCGCTCATGCTCCCTCCGATAATTGGACCTCGTGAAAATTTTGCCGCAATACCGACACTGCAACGGATTATCCGACTCGGGGGGCTCGATCCCTCCTGGGAATGAATCAAACGAGGTCATATCCAACAAGATGCAGCCTTCCACGTTCACGCTGGAATCTGTAAGTATAAACATCATTTTTATTCGTTAGTTTTCCTTTATTACACCTACATTAAATTTGATTATTATAAAAAGAAGTGTTGCATTTGACGTACGAATGTCATCTGGAGTTGTCTAAGTTCCTGCCTCTTCCGTTATAGTAGGTATCAACAGTTAATTTTTCCTTACATTACAAGGACGTGTTGACTCTTCTGTCGCTTATTCATCAAGAAATATGCATTACACAAGAGTTATAAACTTAATATAATATGACAGTTTTGGAAGCAGACGATCAGAAAAGCAATAAATCGTAATAAATATAAATCAGCCATATTACCATACTGTAGACAACCTCTTTTGATCTGTATGAAACAATGAAAATTGTAAAAAAAAAAAAAAAAAACATGTTTTACAGTCTACATATAATTGGATGTTCAAGAACAGTGGTTTTAAATTGGATGAGTTGTTTTATATATTTTTTTCACGTACTTTTAACGTGAATTAAAAGACATACCTTACGTGGTGAAAAGAGATTGTATAAGAAAACTGTCTTTCAGTGAGTAACGGTGTGTCATTACACCATTTTACTAAAAGGATCAGCATGAAGCTGTAATGTACATGTGTAATGGATATCGATGTTAAAGCCGTGTCTAGTTATTCTGTATTGAATGGTCCATACTTAAATGCATACCTTTTTCATCGGTTTGGTCTGTTTGTGTTTTACGTCCTATTTACAGAGCTATGGTCATTTAAGGACGTGCCAGGTTTTAGTGGTGGAGGCAAGCCAGAGTTCCCATAGAAAAACTACCGACCTACGGCTAGTACCTGGTGACTGGCCCACGTAGGCCTCGAAACCGCGACCCAGTGGTGGAGGGCTAGTGGTAGCAGAATGTCAGACGCCTGAACCACTTGGCCACCGTGACCATGTCATCGGCATTTCATGTATAAATTGAGGCGAAAATATTTATATAAAAAACACAATAGAAGTATAATTATCTAAAAACAATATGACGATTATCAACAGCAATCAACCACATCGACCTCCTCATCTGAATTTAGTTGTGTTTATTTCAAGGAGATTGGCATTAACAAGAAATAGAGATTGGAAATATTGGGGTATCGAATAAATATTTCAAATCTCGAAATAAAACTAGATCGTGATATTTTGCTGCCACTAAATTGAGGCATGTCAGTTAAATCGCCCGCCCTGATGTAGCTATACAAGAAAATCGAAAGACATAACATGTATATGGCTAGCATCTAATGCTAGTTTATATTGGGAAGGAAAAAAGACGCCAAAGATATAGTATACTTTCATATAAATACTTTCTCGGCCTACATCTAATTAAATTACTGCATTATTCATAATTACTCAATCTAATTTCTGTCTAAAAACTAGTCTAGGACTTTTTCCTGATCGGAAGTAATATTTAACATAAGGATCTATATATTGCTCAATGTTGTACCCAATGAACTAGCAGACATATTATAGTAATGTCCCCTGTATAAATCCTTACTATGGAAATAACCTTAAGTTATAGTTGTACATATGGGCCCACTTGTATAAAACATCTCAAAGTTAGGGAAAATCTCAAGCAATGTATTGTCTATGGGAAATCTTAGACTTGAGGAAATCTCAAGAGTTGAGATGTTTTATACAAGTGTGCCCATATGTGCATGTTGTTATGGTGATGATGGCAAGTTCTTCATTGTATAAAATAGTACAGTGGAATACACGTACTTTAATGCAGTTGTTTAAATTGCATATATTTTAGTTCATGGTAAGGTGACTTGTTTTCTGTTTTAACACTTTTGGGTAACTACCAGGGACGATTCCTTTGTAGTAGGGAATTTCTAACAAGACAAAGACAGGACTGAGAGCCCATTAATTTTAACTCATTCAGTCCTGTAGTTTTATAATGAACTATTCCACCCTTTGAATTACAAGAGTTCAAATGTGTCTTTAGGGGTGAACAAGTTAAAGACACTAAATCCATACTTTATTTATCATAACTCTGAATCTTAGAGTACAGTCCAACTAGATATAAAACTTCCGTTACTGTTAAACAAGCTGGATATACTAAATAAACAACGGTGCGTTTGTTTGTTATTCCTGTCAGCTATACTAAAAATAGCTAAAACTATTCTTGTCATTAATACATGTGTATATACCCGGTAATATTGTCTGTGTAATATTTTGTAATATCTTCACAACACCGCCTCATTACCTGTGCTTCTATGTTACTAATTCTTAATTTTCACAGGCATCTGTGGTATTACTAATAGTAATTATCTTTGACCGATATCAGTAAGTATAAACGTTCCAAAACGTTTTTCCATACGTCAGCATAACGACACACTGCTATTGCACAACTCAAACATAACGTTTCTAATACCGCGGTATCTTTGACGGGCGCATTAATACAGGAACTACTTTATGAATTCTATATATATCCGATAACGTAACAAAACGTACCCTGTACGCTTATACAGGTATATATATGCGGCCTCCGGTATTACAGGCGGTTGTGTAAGGATTGTACGTGCACAGTGTAGCACGGAATGTTTTTTTTTGTTCAGTACGTATGTATTCCTCGTTCAAAAAGGACATATATAATTATCATATTGATTGTTTATATCTAATGTGTGGCATATGCCATTAAAAGGTGAGAGTTATTTGTTTAATTGATGGAACGTTTTCTTTTTTTCCTTTACAGTTTAACTCACAACAACATGATTATATATTTTTTTTCATACATTTTTTTTCAAAAATCAATTAGAAGATGACATATTGAGGTTAAAACTGGATGAAATCGACAATTGTGATGTAGGTATCATACAGTATACTATTTATCACAACATAGTCGACTGATTACGTGTAGGTATTGTCATACCATACTATATATGAAGAGGGAAAATTAGCAAAACTGTTATTGATTTTATGTCAGCTATTCTTCTCATATCAGCATGCGTTACACTTATTCTAATATACAGTAAATCTTCGATATAATGTCCTCATTCCATTTGCCACCTCGCCTACCACCAACCTGTTCCGAGGTCCCATCTTCTCTCTTTTTTTAAGAATTTCTTTATAATTTTCCCTCAGCTCATCGCCAAACTCAATTAACCCCAATTGTTTTTCTGACAAATCGTGGCAGCATAACGAGGTAAGAATGTATATACAAATATTGATATGAAGTATCGCAGTTTGCTTATAATTATCTCCAATGTTTTGTTCCTTTAATTATAAACTTGCGTAGAAATGAGATGTTTGCGATGTGTGTTGCGTCCCTTAATGGAGCTTAACTGACTTCCCGACATCTCAGATGGGATAGGGACACTACCGGTAATAGCACGAAATAGCTATAGTTTACTGTTAATGAAGTGTATTGACAACCAAACAATGACTAAATAAAGACAATATACGAGTATAATGTTTTCATTGTAATCGATACACTGTCTGATGATTTTGTAATGCAAGAGGAAAATACAAAATATAAAAGTCACTCGCTCCTAAAAGCGATCCATGCATCATTTTACTCGAAAACGTATCCTTCTTAATCTGTTTATTTATTTAATTATATTTTGATTTAGAAAAATAAAAAAAGTCAGTCATAGTGAGTATTACACAGAAAAATGGGACATAGATCGAGTGATTTTAACTTTCATATTTTATAGGAAATTCATAAGAAGTGGATGTCTATCTATAGGATTGTACTTCATAAACTCTTATAACGTACGCATTGGCTGCATAGTGACGTGTAAGAATGATGTCTGTGGAAAGGTATCACAGTGCCAGTAAATCACCAAGGCGGAGGAGTCTCTGTGCTGGTGAATCGCCAGGGCGAAGGAGTCGCAGTTCTAGTAAATCACCACGGCGAAGGAGTCGCAGTTCTAGTAATTCACCGCGGCGAAGGAGTCGCAGTCTGAGTAAACCGCCACAGCGATGCCATCGCAGTACTAATATAACCCCACGGCAAAGGAGTCGCAGCACTAGTAACTCACCAGGGCGAAGGAGTCGCAGTCTTAGTAACTCACCAGGGCGAAGGAGTCGCAGGAATAGTAACTCACCACGGCGAAGGAGTCGCAGTCATAGTAACTCACCAGGGCGAAGGAGTCGCAGTATTAGTGACTCACCAGGGCGAAGGAGTCGCAGGAATAGTAACTCACCACGGCGAAGGAGCCGCAGTATTAGTAACTCACCAGGGCGAAGGAGTCGCAGTATTAGTAACTCACCAGGGCGAAGGAGTCGCAGTATTAGTAACGCACCAGGGCGAAGGAGTCGCAGTAATAGTAACTCACCATGGCGAAGGAGTCGCAGCACTAGTAAATCACCACGGCGAAGGAGTCGCAGCACTAGTAACTCACCAGGGCGAAGGAGTCGCAGTATTAGTAAATCACCAGGGCGAAGGAGTCGCAGTCTTAGTAAATCACCACGGCGAAGGAGTCGCAGTAATAGTAACTCCCCACGGCGAAGGAGTCGCAGTCTTAGTAACTCCCCACGGCGAAGGAGTCGCAGTCTTAGTAACTCGCCACGGCGAAGGAGTCGCAGTCTTAGTAACTCAGCAGGGCGAAGGAGTCGCAGTCTTAGTAACTCGCCACGGCGAAGGAGTCGCAGTAATAGTAAATCCCCACGGCGAAGGAGTCGCAGTCTTAGTAACTCAGCAGGGCGAAGGAGTCGCAGTCTTAGTAACTCGCCAGGGCGAAGGAGTCGCAGTCTTAGTAACTCTCCACGGCGAAGGAGTCGCAGTAATAGTAAATCACCAAGGCGAAGGAGTCGCAGTAATAGTAACTCACCACGGCGAAGGAGCCGCAGTATTAGTAACTCACCAGGGCGAAGGAGTCGCAGGAATAGTAACTCACCACGGCGAAGGAGCCGCAGTATTAGTAACTCACCAGGGCGAAGGAGTCGCAGTCATAGTAACTCACCAGGGCGAAGGAGTCGCAGTAATAGGAACTCACCAGGGCGAAGGAGTCGCAGCCTTAGTAACTCACCAGGGCGAAGGAGTCGCAGGAATAGTAACTCACCACGGCGAAGGAGCCGCAGTATTAGTAACTCACCAGGGCGAAGGAGTCGCAGTAATAGGAACTCACCAGGGCGAAGGAGTCGCAGCACTAGTAACTCACCAGGGCGAAGGAGTCGCAGTCCTAGTAACTCACCAGGGCGAAGGAGTCGCAGTATTAGTGACTCACCAGGGCGAAGGAGTCGCAGGAATAGTAACTCACCACGGCGAAGGAGCCGCAGTATTAGTAACTCACCAGGGCGAAGGAGTCGCAGTCCTAGTAACTCACCAGGGCGAAGGAGTCGCAGTATTAGTAACGCACCAGGGCGAAGGAGTCGCAGTAATAGTAAATCACCACGGCGAAGGAGTCGCAGTCTTAGTAAACCGCCACAGCGATGGCGTCGGAGTACAAGTAGAAAACGTCATTTGCTAAGGAGTCGCAGTACTAGCAGTAGACGCAGCAGGACTAGATCACCTGGGCGAAGATGTAGCGGTACAAACAGGTCACGGCTAACACGCTTCCGCAATAGAGGTTGCTACAGAAATATATATCCCCGGTGGGGGATTTCAAGGTTTCCACTCCAGCGAAGGAGTAGATATTATTCTTGGTACAGGGATCGTAGCATAAGCAGATCTCCTCGTCGACGGAGTTATAGTAAATCACCTTGTCGACGTTCTCGAAGTAGGAGTGGATCGAATGATAGAATGAGCTTCAGAACATCACGCTGGCGACAATGCCGAAGTAGGAGTAGGTCGTATATTCGAAGGAGTTGCAGTTTGTCACCTTGGCGACGAGATCAAAATAGGAGCTGGTCGAATGATCGAAGGAGTTACAGCACATCACCTTGGCGACGGCGCCGAAGTAGGAGTACGTCGCATATTCGAAGAAGCTGCAGCATATCACCTTGGCGACGGCGTCGAAGTAGGGGTAGTTCATACACTCGAAGGAGTTGCAGTTTATCTCCTTGGCGACGGTGTCGAAGAAGGAGTAGGTCGAACTGTCGAACTTGCAGCACATCACCTTGGAGAAGTAGTATGTCGTCTCTTTCAAGTAGTTGCAGTAGCTCACCTGAACGATGTCGATGTATAAGTAAAAGGACGGAGAGACGTAAGCGTACGTCAGGTGGCGATGTGGTGGAAGTTGATGTTACTTGGAACCGAAACGGTTGCCGTTACCACATCGCAGACGTTATCAGTCAGTGACATACCAACCATGTCTGCTTGAACTAAATATGTGATCAATAACATGGTAAAATTCGTGATGATTTAAAATGTCGTCGTCGTCGTATTTTTATCTTTATTTTGTTTGCTTTTAGTTATATACATATTATACTTAATAGCTGTTAAAAGCTAGGTCGTGAACTTATAATCAAACTATTCATACTATAATCGCTAATTGCATGTATACATAACAAAGCAATGTGAATTAATTGTTTGGCTGTTGAACCTCTGTATTGTTGTAATAAATCAATGAAAATGTAAATATTCTGTTCTAGTGAGAATTAATGTTTTTCAAGTATCAATACTGATTGTAGAACCGTACATCACTGATTTCGCATTGAACCATATACTTAGTTTCCTTTGAACAACAGGCCAACTTATGATAGTTATTCGTCTGCCAACTTAATCTTGAAATAGATAGAGTTGAACCTCAAAATTATTTCCAGATAAACAGTAGATTCATATTACTGTTAATCATTCAATTTTGAGCAATTTTTACAAAAAAATCCCTTTATTGCGAGGATTTGAATTCGAAAAAAGCTCAATAAAACGTAAACATGCATAAAATTATTTAAATATCTTCGCAAATTTTTAGTTTACTATCGTCACAAAACAAATATATCACGATAGAAAAGAGCGTTTCGAACTAAAAAACATTAAAGAACAAAAACAAACAACTAAAGAAGAAGAAAAAAACCCAAAAACAATCAAACAAAAAGAAGTAGAAAAAGAATGTACTGTTTACTAAAGTAATAACAACAACAAAAAACCATAGAACAATGGAAAGAATATCGTAAACATCTGATATCGGAGATGATATGCTTCACAATGGGGCAGTTTTCTGTATCACGTGTGGTTGCCATAAAGTATTTGCAATATAAGAATGGGATATTTTATTATAAAACTTTCAACCCTTTTCATATTGTTAAAAAATACTGAATTCGGACGAAGGAAGAAGAGAAGACATGAATATAAGATACTTAAACAAAAGATGTAAATATTGATACAACACAAACAACACGGAACATTGATGACAGATACCCATGCATCAAATGACGGTGATAATATCATATTCATGAGACATCAAAATAAACCAAATGTTAATCTTTAAAGAGAACGATCCATCAAACCTGCATGTTGCCTGGCCATCGTCGGAAACTCACGTTCGATTGTACTAGCGTTTATCGATATCGAACGTAAATTTCCAACGATGACATGTTGCAAAAGATTAGAATAGAAAGGGAAAATGTTCTTATGTAATCAAAGGTGTGATGATATAGAACAATGTGCATACTAAGTTTGATTGGCGATACACGAAACACGTTGGGTTTTTTTTTATGTAAAAACGTTTTCCGATGTTGTTTGTTTTATAAATATTTACATTCTATATGCTTAGACCCATTGACAAAAATTACATTCATAAATGCATAACACAGGCGTTCATAGAATCTCAGCACGTGGGAACTGATAGTAACCTGATCACACTGCGTAGTAATACACTACAAAAACTACTCACTCGGAACGACCGACCTAGATGCTTAATTCTTACATCTTAAAATATTATTGAACTGTGCTTTGTGAAATATCCACGTATTCACGTGTCCTGTGCTACAAATAAACATTGAATATGGAACTACATTTTGTTGTGTTATTGTTGTTGACGGTTGCTAAGATCTCTCACGATAGTGTCACATTTCCCCGCGAAAAAACACTGTTCTCGCCACTGCGTTGCACCCGTGTATAAGCAGGAACAAACCCTGTTTATTTGTTTTATTCGTTGTTATATCGATCCACTGAAAGGATTCGTCAATGTAAATATAAGGAATGATATTTATTTTTTCAACATTTATGAGGTCATAACAACAATGGGTTTTTGGACATATTTTACATGAATCGCTAACGCGATTCATTCAATATGTCCATAAACCCATTGTTGTTATGACCTCATAAATGTTGAAAAAATAAAAATCATTCCTTAAGTAAAAAGTCCGAGTTTTATACTACTAATTATGTTCCTACAATGTATTATACATCAATTAACTTGATACTTGGTTATTGGTAAACGAAACGGGGAATCATTTTCAAATTTAAATGAAAAGAAACTCATCAGAATAAAACTAAATAAAAAGATGTATATTATTTTTTTAAATGACAGAAAAGGTCACTTTTGTGAACTGAGGTTTCCATAAATCATTTCGAAAATATGACCCATTCAATAAAGTTGTGTAAAATCGAAACATCGGAAGAAATTGTTTTGTACTGTCCACGGTTTTCGCAAAGCAAAATACTCTTGTAAGTACACAATTAACTAAACAATAAAACGATGATCACAAGGTAAATATAGTAAACTACTGTGCATTCGATTGTGTTTTGTTTATGTGTCTCCTCGGAACTCGTTATCTTCACAAGGTTGAAATTTTTCCAAAATACAATTAAGTTGCTCAATCGTCAGTAAAAGAAGAAACAGTCACTGGATCAAGGTTCAATTATATCTTGATAAACATTCATAACTATAATGTAACAAAACTGCACTTCAATCATTAACAAAATGATGGACTTTTTTCGGAGGATTTTTTTTTTCTTTTCGGTTTTGGGTTCGAAAGTATTCGCATTAAAGTCAGTTTTTCCCTTTCTTCATCTTTGTAAATATGATTTACTAAACTTACAAGTAGTCGTAGTGTATAGCTAGATATTAAACTGAAAGAATATTCCCGTAGGCATATTTTAGATGAAATAAAAAAGACACGGGTTTATTATTTTTTTGGTTGAGAGTTTGCCGTCCTCAAAATTGCCACAAAGGCTTCCACAGGTGATGAAACCACTTAAAGGCCATCTTTAAGTGTATTTCACTGAAACACCAGAATGTTAATACCAATTACGGTAGCATGACAATTTAGCAAGTTACATTATTCTGGCAGCGGCCTCAAACGAGCAAAAAGACATTGATCAAATTATGGCCCGATAACGACAACAGAAACATACGACTAGTTCTACGTATGTATGGAAATGAACGTTGGACCAACGTCGGTACTTTATTTGTCCAATGTCAAGCACCGTATGTGGTGTATCAATGTCACGTTGTGCCGACGTCAGTACATCTTATTTCCACTGACAAGCACCGTATGTGGTGTATCAATGTCACGTTGGGCCGGCGTCAGTACATCTTATTTCCACTGACAATCACCGCATGTGGTGTATCAATGTCAAGTTGGGTCGACGTCAGTACATCTTATTTCCACTGACAAGCACCGTANGGGGGGTGAAATGGGTAACATTTTTGTGTAGGAAATATATGTCTTTAAAAATAGTACCAGATCTGGCACTGGTTACCATAAATAATTGTCAAAATGCTATTACATGTACTACCAACGTCGGTATTGCAATTGTCTAATGTCAAGCACCGTATGTAGTGTATCAATGTCACGCTGGGCCGACGTCAGTAGATCTTATTTCCACTAACAAGCACCGAATGTGGTGTATCAATGTCACGTTGGGCCGACGTCAGTACAATTTCTTTCCACTGATAAGCACCGTATGTGGCGCATCAAAGTAACGTTGTGTAGGAAATGTATGTCTTTAACCATAGTACCAGATCTGGCACTGGTTACCATACACAATTGTAAAAATACTATTACTACCATTTTTAAAAGTCGTTTGCCAAGTCTTTCTGATTTGTCAGTCTTTCCATCTTCTCAATTTTGGTTTCCCAAAGCGATCTTAAAGAGTAGCCCACCTTAGTCTTTTTGTGATTGTGCTCATGTAATTGAACTATGCAGATGTAAAGAGTATTGGTATAAGAAGTTAAAATGAGGCTTATATGTCCCATAATGCATTTAAATAACTTTGCATTTGTTGTCAAACGTGTTGGTATTTCATACTTTTTACGAACTAAATCGCTTAACGTTACAGTAAAGATTTTCTTTTCTTGCTTTGAAAAAGCGAAGGTTTTATATATGAGCTTCTTATTTTGTATCTGTATTTATTATTAGCCCTAGAAGGTAACAAAAATATGCAATACTTCAACATGTAAACGATAGATCTAAAAAGAAATAAAACAGTTGAACAAAATTCAAACGATCTAAATAATAATTGAAGGACATTTTAAAAGAACTTTTATCACTACAAAATAACTGATTTAGAAGTGAAGCTTTTAAGTTTGAATATTAACTTTATGCATTCTAAACAGTGTTTATTGGCAATACACAAACATCTCTGTTGAATTGTTTCAGAAGTGAATAATAGAAAAACTAAGTCAGGGAATACCTATTTAAAACTTCAGAAACTCGATGCAAAAACCCAAACTAAAGAAAGAGGTTTACTGCACCGTATGACTATTTCGTAGGTTTACAATTCGTGGGTGTACCAAGGATAAAAAAAAAAAATTTAAACCTTTCACCCTTATCCAGCTTTAGTCGACTCTACCATGCATTGATCTGGATGAGTCCATTATGGTCTACAGTAGTGAAAGGGTTAAAAACCACAACTGAATGGTTCCGAAAAATAATTTGTAAGTAGCAAAAGGGGAAAGTGGTGCACTTAAATCACTGTCTAATAGTTACAAATTAACAATTTTTGGATGCAGCAGAATAGCTCATTAACTAATATTTCACTTAAACTGTAAAGGTTACACAAATATTTCGACCAAATAGAACCGTTAAAGCTGATTCTTCATTTCTTTAGAATTTTACATTACTCTTTTGAATACATTATTTTTTTTTAAATCATAACATGTTTTAATAGATAAACCTAAAACATATTTTTTCATTAAAGTGAAAACAGCAAATCATTGTACAATATTAGTAAATATATTCCGTGGGAAAAAAAAACTTTAAACAAACCTCTTATTAAATGTTATATGCAAATATATGAACAAATATCTGGTTTGGTTTGGTTTAGTATTGTTTAACGTCCTATCAACAGCTATGGTCATTTAAGGACGACCTCCCCTGTGTGCAAGATGCATGCGTGTAGTGTATGCGTGTGTGTTTTGGGAGGCTGCGATATGTTCGTGTTTGTCTCCTTGTGATAACGCGGAACTGATGCCGACTTTATAGTGCTACCTCACTGAAACATACCGCCGAAGACACCATGCAGGACACCCCACCCGGTCACATTATAAGATATGTGATACTACATCGCCAATAAGTACCAATATCAGTTGTTAAAAAGAAATATATTCTATCATGGTCGATGCATCAATTGTATTGAGAAATTATTGTCTATATATTAATATACATTGAAAATTAAATAAAAAAATTATATTAATTAATTAAGTAAGGGATTTTACGCACCTGACCATCTGTTTCAATAGTTGTTCACAAAATTTAGATTTTCAACTTCTGGCCCCACATGATTTTCTATGACTTCTGGAAGGACGAAACAGCTTTATGATATAGTGAAATTTATTTTTTGTAAACTGTATCTTTTAACACATTTTAAATGTGCAGTCCCCTGTGTGTGTATATTACGTTCATCTTTCATTGATAAGAGTGAATATATGCTAATAATAGCATGGGACTAAGTATGTATAGGTCAATATATGTATCGTTTGGCAAACGTACAGCACACGTCGTTACTTGATATAGATACGACCAGACTACGTTTTCTAAACGTATATCATACGTTCTTCTTCAGTGTTAGTATATATACGGTCGGTAATCTTAGCACGTCAGTTAAACGATTGTAATTACGGTGTACGTTAATGTACGGGAAAGAAACTCATGGACGTAGCAACATATTTCAACTATTTCACGGAGATGTTGGAGTAACATTATAATGTAATCTTATAACTATCGTGGACTGTTAAATCCTGGACATGATTTTCTGTTTATCACACATGTGTGGTTTTCACGCTATTGCAGGATACTGGATGGGGTATTGAATTTTCCCCTAAGCAATCATATTTATTTTGATGTTTGACAAAATGTTTTAATTATAGAATGTACATCAGGATTGGTGGATGTGTTACGGAATTCCGGTCAAACTTTCAGGAAGGATATCCTCATAATATCTTTGACTACAAATTATGATAGTATACCGACCAGATTCTGGACGTTATAAATATATTTAGACACCTGAAATTGCATATGTTGTGAATTCAGCTGATGTGGCTTCGTGCATGAACGTTTGTTGAACACTCCTATGATTACAACATATCTTCATGAACATTATCAATTGCCGTGCCTGTTATCAAGATTATAAAGGTTGCTTGAATATTTCCTAAACCATAAACAAAACATTTGTATTTAACACAATCGTACTTGAGTAGTAAGCATGGGAAAGAAACGCGGAAGGAAGTATAGGCGGCGAGCTCATCAGCACTCAAAACGGCGGAGTAGTTCACCGACTCAACGATCACGTTCTCGGTCACATTCTCGAGGCCGGAGTAGGACCCCAATTCCCCTATCCTGTTCCAGATCGTGTTCTCCGAGGCCTAGATCACGATGGCAAAGTTCAAGGAACATTTCAAGGAGTAGAAGTTGTCCGTTGCTTCGATCCAGTCACAGCCAGTTATCTGTATTGCATGGGAGGGACTCATCAGTTAGACATCATTCGTTGGAAGGATTAACTCTACGTTATGGTAGCCTCTCCCTAGATCGGTTTCAAGCGATGGGTTTTAGTACTAGCACGCAAAGAAAGAGTTGTAGTAGAAGTAGATCACATCCTAGAGGACATAAAAGAAGTGGATCGCATCACAGAAAGAAACATAGCAGAAGTAGATCGCCGAACAGGAGTCGTAATAGAAGTGGATCGCATCACGGAAAGAAACGTCATAGAAGTGTGTCACATTGCAAAAGAAGTCGTAGTAGAAGTGGATCGCATCATAGAAGGAGTCGTAGTAGAAGTGGATCGCATTGCAGAAGTAAACGTAGTAGAAGTGGATCGCATCATAGAAGTAAACGCAGTAGAAGTGGATCGCATTGCAGAAGTAAACGTAGTAGAAGTGGATCGCATCGCGGAAGGAAACGTTATAGAAGGATCGCATCACATAGTAGGATCAATACAAATACATATTGCAAACATGAAAAAGGCAGAGAAAACTCGAATGCAACCGTGTTTGACATTGATCATTTTCTTTGCGAACGTTTAAACGGATGAACATGTCAAAGCCCAAGTCAAAATCGTAGCAGATGTTTCGTAGTATCCAGTGTTAATTCAAAAGGGGAGGATCTACGAGTCCGAGTACGTGCGCTAACTGCTTGCTTGGCAATAAAAAGGTTTCAATATTTATAAAGACAGAGAGAGAGAGCTGTTGAAAGCGTAACAAAGTTTGAAGACGTGTCTGTTAAGGAGAAAAATAGCTAAAGCAACGGGGAGAGGTTCTCATCATAAATAATATTTGACAATGATTTAAAAATGTGAACATGAACTTTGTTGTTATTTAACAAAATGGAAATTAAAAGCTAAGCTAACAAATGTCAAATGACTTTCAAGGCTTTCTACAAACAACAGAGGACATCATTGTTTTAGTGACAGACGAAGACATTTTTGCAGATTTTTGCGGGAAATACCAAACCAAAGTGTACCTAGCTCGGCTAGTGTTCCTTTCCCTTTGGAACAAACACCGAAAAGTTTACACGTGGACTGCATTAAAGGAGAAAGTTTAACATCCACTTACTGCAGTTTGTACCTGATGAAAGAAGGCCCGATTTGAACGAACCAGAAAAAATGCTCAAGATTTTGATTTGTCAGAGGCGAAATCATTCACTGAAGATCATGACGATGTTTTTTATAACATATTTTGTATTTTCACATCGTGGAAGATTAAACCACGGAACTCACTAATGTCAACTGAAAGTCCTGTTGATATCACGTTCTTTATATATAACCGGTTTGTACTTTCATCAGTAATTATATAGTAAACTTAACGATGTCGTAATACTGTAAGTGTACTAATTTTAGCGGTATTTTATTCTGTACGTCCTTCGCGCTAACCTTTCCTCCGTTAATTCACGTCCATCGCAAAATTAGACTACATTGCACAAGCTATCTCAATACCATAAAATGTGACAAGGGACAGAAAATGAAATTAGGTACCGCGATTCTGCTCAGCAAAGAGTGCGCTTTTGAGTCCTACCCCATTCTTTTCGCTAAAATGTGAATGTGCTAATATAGGTACGCTTACAGCATATTAAGTAATTTATCATGAATTATGTACAGTTATCCGTATCACACATCTAATAAATCATTAATCATTGAAAAAAATATTGATGGTGTTCAAATATGTTAACAGTGTCATACATAAAGTTAATTATTTATTATCAATTACAAATGTATATACAATTAACAGTGCCATATATATATATAAAAAACTTTAATTATGTATAGTTAACAGTATTATATATATTGTCAATTGTATATTGTTACTTACATACAATAATCACTTCCATTTATACAGGAAATTAGTTCTCACTGATTATGAACAATTGGGTTAACAGTTAAATTTCAGTGTCATACATTTAGCATTTTGTTTTTTTTATTTATTACCTACTGTTAAGTAAAATGTGCTATACATTCAGCAAAGTATGTATATTTAATAATATACAGTTAAGTTAACATGTATATTAAATATTTAGAAAAGTATGTTTAACTCATTATGAACAATTAACTTAACAGTTAAGTTATTAGTGTCATTCATGAACTAAAATATTTATTATTAATTAAAGACAGTTAACATTTCAATTCATGTATGTATGTTTGTGTGTATATTTATATACAGAACTATTTTTCACTGACCAAGTTATCTATTATTGATTATCTACACTCAATGCAAACGGTGCTATAGTAGTAGTGTATTATATATATTTAATGATATTCATAATTCCTTATATTGAGTTTACACTGCTTAACATAATGTAAATTATCTATCATCAATCATACTCAGTTATATTAACAATGTCATATATGTGGTTATATACAAATAAGATAACAACTCCATAAATGTATGTAACAACGAGTTGGAATATAAAAAAAGCACATACACATTTTCAAACAATAAATGATAAGAGATTTTAACAGATGTTAAAATTTGTTGATTTGCAAATAAAACTTCGTTATATAAAAAAATCTGGTGTTTTTGTCTTTTTTAAACACGGTTGGTTGCTTTTTACAGTAGATTGGTTTGATTGTGTTTTACATCCTATTAACAGCCATGGTCATTTAAGGACATGCCAGGTTTTATTGGTGGAGGAAAGCCGGAGTTCCCGGAGGAAAACCACCGACCTACGGCCAGTACCTGGCGACTGCCCCACGTAGGTCTCGAACACGCGACCCAGTGAGGAGGGCTAGTGGTAGCATAATGTCAGACGCCCTAACCACTACAGCAGAATGAACTTATATTCTTACAAGACATTTATGTAAAGTATTGAAACATTTACGTGATGAATTAATCGACATATATAGTAAAGACAGCACAAAACTTCAATTCTTTGAGAATTTATTCGTGTGTTGTCGATTTACCTAAATTATTTGTTTTTGGTACTCAATATATATGCAAAATACAAATATATACAGAAATTTCAAATAGCGCAGTCATAACTTAGTATCACAATCAAATCGCAAAAAAGCGCAAAAAGGTAATACCGTCAAAAATTTCAGTTAACAGTATCACTTTTCTAATTTTTTCGGCATATTTTTCACGTGTTTATGTATATAAGCTTAAGACAACAGGACTATGGGTAGGTCATCTCCGATAGTATAGGATCAGCTGTGTTAACCTACTATATTGTAATGGGGGTAAACAGGAACGGCACCAGGACTATGGGTAGGTCATCTCCGACAGTATAGGATCAGCTGTGTTAACCTACTATATTGTAATGGGAGTAAACAGGAACGGCACCATGACTATGGGTAGGTCATCTCCGACAGTATAGGCGATATATCACGTCAAAGGTGCATGGCCGATATTCATTTATATGTTGATGGGGTTTTTTAAATGTATTATTAATATATTTCTGTATCGACACAATATAATTTTGTACATTTGTAATACTAAAAGAAGGTGTTTCCTTTTTCATATTTTTATCTAGATTATTTTAAACAATAACGCTGTGGACTTTGTGATTTGCATAACACAAATTCGAAATAACAACGTTTGACGGTATAAAAAGACCTCAAACTGTTCACAGAAAGAATACCACCAATGAGACTTAAAATCGTTGAAATGACATCATATAAACATCTGCTTAAAGATCCCCGTAAGTGCACAGTGAAAACGGGTTTTTCCCCAGCAAGACCATAGCTTTAATTAATCATTTAAAAATGAAAGCCATACCTCGTGGCACTTTTATGTAAAACAAATAAAGATGGAATGAGCAAATTATATAATCAACGACAGTGTTCTTAGTGTAAAATTTCAGCGGGGCTAGTCCGGGGTTCGAACCCTGATTACTGCAGATTGTTATACTATCGCTCCAAACAACTGAGTAACCTGTTCAATGGACGTCTTCTGGCCGAGATGTGCTACAGTTATATTCAAAGGGAAATTAAAGTGGGGTCACTGTACATAAGAATCCAGTGCAGTGGGACAGGCAACCTTAGCTAAGAATCCTAAATGGGGAGTTTCCTGCACCACATGCTGAAGTCGTGATAACTTCGCTCATCATATCTACGACCAGTTAAAAACATAAAACATCCAAACCATAAAATACATTCAGATAACAATATGTAAATCTGAATCAGGGCGATTTCCTTAAAGTAAACATATGATTATGTCAAACAAGCATGTAAAACAAAAGTTTGAAAAGAAAAAAAAGGTGATGGCAAAGAACATTGTATTTAAAGTAAGTTGGTGTAGAGATACTTAAAACAACGAATTCTGATATAAATTATCAGCTGTAGCAAAATGTTGTAATTCGATCGTAACACTAGCAAGGGGTTGATAGGCACGTTCCCCTTCCATTCTCTGTTTGCTATATATACTTTGCAATACATTAATTATGGACTATTCACCTTTAGTTCTACTGATGGGTCCTTAACGGACGAAACTGTCATATAGTGTAGCAACAATTTGGGAAAGACTTCACACGTGTGTGTGAAAAATATAAAATGCATTTACTTTAAAAAAAATGTGTATTATACATGGAATACCTTAATTCGTAGTTTCAGTGTTTAGTTTGTAATCCTAGAAAATCGGAAATGACTAAACAGCGCTTAAGGGACTATTTAAATGATAGTTTTCAGTCAAAAATAACACGTGATTTAAATAAATCTTTCAAGCATTAATAACAAGCATTCTGTGGGTATGGATGAATCAATACATGTCCCCTACCGACGCCCCCAACAGATACACAGCAAACAAGATATTGCAAGCGACAATATTTTCAAACGATTTTCCAGAGTACACAGTAAATACATAGCGGACCATGCAATCTAATGCCCGTACTTTCCCAAACTTTAACCTGCATATTTTGGCCAAGATAGTTAAGTCCAAAACATGTCAAAAATTCAAAAACAATAAAATTAGTTTTCCACTATCACTAAACAACATTAATGCTAAACCCCAATAAAGAAACTGTGTACGTAATAGCAGCATCCTAACACTGTTATTAAGTGAACGGTGAGCCAGTACGAAACTTTAACCGAAACTTTAACCTACAGATTTTGGCCAAGATATTTACATGTAAGTCCAAAACATGTGAAAAGGAAAAAGAAAAAGAAAACAATCCACTTTCACTAAACAACACATTAATGCTAGACCCCTAAAGAACCTCTGTACATACAACCAGAATCCTAACACTATTATTAAGTGAACGGTGAGCCATTACGAAACTTTAACACAAACTTTAACCTACAGATTTTGGCCAAGATAGTCACATGTAAGTCCAAAACATGTGAAAAGGAAAAAGAAAAAGAAAACAATCCACTTTCACTAAACAACACATTAATGCTAGACCCCTAAAGAACCTCTGTACATACAACCAGAATCCTAACACTATTATTAAGTGAACGGTGAGCCATTTCAAAACTTTAACACAAACTTTAACCAAAGGTAATGGACGGACGGACGGAGACAAAACCTTTTGTCTCCCCGGTTTCATCGGTACGAGACTAATAAATACATGCATAATAAAGAGTATTTTGCATACCATCTTGTTGGTAATACATAGCCACTCCTTGTAGTCTTAGTTAAAAGGTAATCCAAAATAAATGAACCGTTCAACCGTAACCTTCTTTTTAACAGTATCCTAGGTGTTATTAAAGAATAAATATAACATGTTTTTATTTAAACAAACAATTTGCGAGTCCACTGTATATAATAATGCTATACATCACACTATACATAAAATATCAAAACTCCTTATTGTGGTAACTAGGATATTTCCAAATCTTACATAAGTGTTATGTGCTAATATTTTCTATTATGTCAGCAAATATCTGTGATACGTATTCTATAAGCATGAAAATAATAATAAAAAATAAAACAGTTCCAAAACTTGGATCCCGACTTATGTACTTACTCGTTACTTAATGCTCTGTATATGTTTTACCCGATTAAAAATTTAAAAAAAACCCCACCAAGTCCTGATAAAATCTACTTTTAAAGTAAAAATACATACATGTTTATGCATAATTGCCGTTGATTATCATGATATCCAAGTTTTAGTTACACGCTATCATACGTAGTTAACACTAGCAAGAAAAACAACTACAATACTTTTAATATGTTTGTATGCTATACTTGAATAAAAGCAAATATGATTCTTTATAATTTTTAACTAGTATACTGACTGTGCTGTTTCCATTATAGTTGTTTGTAATTTCCATATTTAGATTCTTTATGTGTGTTTCTTCCTATATATTCCTATGGGACGTTTTAATTAGTCTGTTACTATTGCACAACACAGAAAAAATCTTGTTTAGTGGTGTATCTGTTGTACGGGGAAAAAATACTGTCTATATATAGATATACATGGTAACAATTTAAAGTATATCTTTCATGACAGTAAAAAACGGTTAATTATAACACGGGACTACTTCTTTGTGCGTATATACACAGGTTAGTGTGAGTACACACACATACCATATATACGACCAGACTACGCTTTGTATACGTATACAGAACGTTCTACACGAGTGCTAGTATATATCTACGATCGGTACTTTAATTTAACGATTGATATTGCCACGCTGTTACATAGCCACATATTCGAGTTAACGACGCTTATATATATCAGTGACAGTGGGAAGCTGTAACGATTGCGTAACAAACCGACTATGGTGCGGACCATTAAATCGGTTGAATGATTTTCTATTCAATACACATGTGTGTTTTTCATTCTACTGTAAGTGAGCGTGTGGGATATTGACATTTCCCCTTTACAATCATATCGTTTTGGATGTATGAAAAAAATGTGTTAATAAGTGCTTGTACATACAGTATTTGATGAATTCCAGCCAATCAATCACTGAGGATATGGTTATAATATCTGCATATTATGGATTATGGTAGTATATTAAGCAGATGCTAGATGTTTTGAAGTGTCTATCAACATCTGAAATTGTTTTTGAACTTTAGAATTGGCAATAAGTGATCGCCATATCGACAATTGATACGATGACAATGAAAAGAAATCCACTGCAAACAACCTAATATAGACTGTTGTCATTTCATATGTGGGATCTTACAAGTCGTACATCATATTTAATGAAGACCTGTATTATTACATCAGATTTTAATGAACAATTTCAGGTACAATGAACAGCAACAAGTGCCGTGCATATCAACAAGAAATTGAAGATCGCTGTACATTCCGTAATGAATTATCAGCTGGGTCATTACAACAGCTAATATAAACAAAAACATTTGTATTTGATTGAATCATTATTGAGGTGTTGGCATGGGAAGGAGACGCAAGAGGAATAGGGGACGAGCTCACCAATGTGTTCCTAGTTCCTATTCACTAAGACGGAGTAGAACCCCGACTCGACGATCATGTTCTCCAAGACAGAGTAGAACTCCGACTCGACCAGCATGTTCTCCAAAACGGAGAACCCCGACTCGACCATCATGTTCTCCAAGACGAAGTAGAACCCCGACTCAACCAGCATGTTCTCCAAGACGAAGTAGAACTCCGACACGACCATCATGTTCTCCAAGACGGAGAACCCCGATTCGACCATCATGTTCTCCAAGACGGAACACCCAGATTCGACGATCACGCTCTAGGTCATACTCTCCAAGATGGCGTAGAAGATCCTATTCCAGATCGTGTTCTCCATGGCAATACATAACAGCCTGGCGACGTCGATCACCTAGATCAAGATGGCGAAGTCCAAGAAAAATTTCAAGGAGTAGAAGTTGTCCGTTGCTATGTGTCAGTCAGGATCTATATGAACCACACAGAAGAGACGCGTCATGTAGAAATAACTCGTCGAAAACAATCGGTCCACGGTATGGTAGTCTCTCCCCAAATCGGTTTCAAATGATGAAATACTCGCGCAGATCAAGGAGTTCTCGTAGAAATACATTCTCTCCACGACAGCTATCTCCAACTTACTCATCGATATTAAGCCGATCGGTATCGCCATATTCTAATTACTCTGACTCACCAGGAGTTTTATCGAGTCGCAGTGTAAGTAGGAGTTGTAGTAGGAGTCGATCGCCTGAAGGCTTGAGTTACATAACAAGTACTCAAAGAAAGAATCGGAGCAGAAGTAGATCGCCTCGCTGGAGTCGTAGCAGAAGTAGATCGCGTCGCAGAAGAAGGCGTAGTCGAAGTATTTCGCCTCGCTGGAGGCGTAGCAGAAGTAGATCGCGTCGCAGAAGAAGGCGTAGTCGAAGTATTTCGCGTCGCTGGAGTCATAGGAAAAGTAGATCGCCTCGATTTAGTCGCAGTAGAAGTAGGTCGCCTCGCTTTAGTCGCAGTAGAAGTAGATCGCCTCGCAGAAGGAGCAAAATTAAACGTAGACGGTTTCGGGGAAGGGGGCGTACTAGGCGTAGACGGCCCGGGAAAAGAAGTCGTAGTAGAAGCGTAACGCCTCACAGAAGAAGTCATAGTAAAAGTAGATCGCCTCACAGAAGTAAAATGAATGCAACCGTGGTTGATATTGATCAAAATGTCAGCGAATTTTTCTTTGCCAACGCTTCAACGGATGAACATATCCAAGCTCAAAATCAAAATCGTAGCAGGTATATTGCATGCATGTCGTTATTACATCTAAAGGGGGTGGAGCTACGTCAACAAGTCCGAGTACGCGCTTTAGCTGCCAGCTGGGCAAGAAACGATTTCAAGATGTCCACAGAGTTCATATGCGATCGCGACAGATATGGAATGGTTGAAATATTGAAAGCTTTACAAATCGTGGATTCAGGAAGACTTATCCGACAAGGAGAAAAAACCCTAAAACGACTTCAAACGGCAAGGGGAAAGGTGTCTCGTCATAAAATTGACAAATTGAAGTGCAAAATAAATAGCATGAGAAAGCTACAGCCTAAAAAGGGATCTGCAAGTGGATCGATATGTAAAAATGTTCGTAAATGGACAAAAACATTGAGCAAGGAAGAGCTCGAACGCTATGCCCTCCATCTTCCTAAAAAACCATGGAAGAAACTAGCCGACATTTGCCATTTTAATCCTGTAGAGGACTTTCCCAATCTACCCTGGTTTCTGTCCTACTGTTTTGGCCAGTCAGCACCCTGTGGAACCGTAGTGCACACTTGCGAGGACCTGAACGAAAAGAACATAAACGACAAATTAAAAACGTGTGACATTCCATATGCCCATAGCCGGAAATTTAAAAAGTACCTTAATGTAGAGTCAAAGATTAAAATTGCCACATCAGAACCTCGACTCGACACTGTGTTATGGTATTATGAAGACATAGAATGCCGCCAGGTGGATGAAATAATAATGCAACGACTTGACACAGGAGACACAAGCGACCTTCCAATCGGAAAGATGATGGACAGGTTAATCACATTGAAAGAACTAGCACGCGGATTTCGCTGTGGCAGGAGGGCGACAGGAAAATATAAGATTCCATTCATGAAAACGTTGCTCAGCCTTGCCGAATCTAAACTTCAGAACGTCAAACTGAAGCTAGATTCTCCTGTCGTTGTACTCGGAGATCGTTCAGGGTCCATGGATATCGCGGTCAGGACTAGTTCTGTCATTACTGGAATATTATGCTCGATTTGTTCTGCCGACCTTGTTGTATTCAACCATAATTGTAAGCGCCCAAAAAAGGTGCCAGAAAATGTCGACGAAGCCCTGAAACTTGCAATGAAAACTGAGGCAAGCGGCTCCACAAATCCATCGTCGGCCTTGATGCCTTTCTACAAACAAAAGAGGGTTGTAAAGACCTTCATTATTGTGACAGACGAAGGGGAAAATGTTGGAAATTTTGCCGATCTCTTTGAGAAATACCATAACGAAGTGTTCCCAGCTCGGCTAGTGTTCGTCTCCTTTCTGGACCAACACGAAAAAGGGTACATGTGTACTCAATTAAAGAAGAAAGGTTTCAATCCACTGCAGTTTGTACTGGATGCTAGAAGACCAGATTTGACCAAACTAGAAAAACTGTTTGGGATTTTAGCGTCAGAGAGCAAATCATTTACTGAGGAACTTTCTATTCTTCAAAGCAAAATCACAGGACACATTCATGACGGTGATTTGTAAACTATGAACATAAAACTGTTCTGTACTTAAGCTTTAACATCGTGGAGGATGAAAGTTTCTTTTCTAAATAGACTTCTTATCTGAATTATATCAATATTTTAGATTATGCTATATTTGCGTATAACTATATCAATTTTTATTGTTTGCTATATTAGCATGTATGTATATTAGGCACATGCCATTTAATTGATGAAATACCTATGCATGAAACTTTATGCATTCTGTGATACTCTTAACTAAGATAACTGTGATCTAACCTTATATGTGTCGATTGCATCAATATGTATGCAACTTTTATCTAGCACGTGTATTTTACTAGCAAGATTACCGTGTTTATTTATATATAAGTTTATTATTATAAGCACTGACCACATCAATTTGAAATGAAAGTCAAAAATATGATCGACTTCATTTTTTGAATGACTGATTAGTTAATTATTGTTAATTAATTATATAGAGTTAACAGTGCCATACATAACGTAAATGAATAATAATTAATTATGTTAAGTTAATAGTGTCTTGTATTAAAGTATTTTATCTATCATTACTTATGTACAGTTAACAGTGTCATACAAGTATGTAACAATATATTATCATTTAAAACGGTCACATTAATTTCATCCGATAAATAATAACATTTTTTTAAGGTTGCATTTTGATTAGCAAATTATATTTCGTTAAAGATATACATGGTGTTTTTCATTTTCCTTTTTTTGTTGCTATAATGAAAACAAGTCATATTCTTTCAAGACAAAAACTAGTATTTGAAGTATTTGAACAGGTACGTACATGTATGTATACATATATAGAAAGGCAGTACAAAACTCGCCTCCTAAGACATCATACTTGTCTTTATGCATAAAAGGTTAAGACAATGCCACCTTACGTCAAAGCTGCATCGCAGATATTTTATATTTGAATTCTTTAACACATTAAATCCTAATTCGAACAATCGACCACCTCACCTGATTGGGTCAGTCCATGTGGTGTATAGTGGCATGGATTTAGAGGGGTGAATGGCATATTTCCTTAGCGTAAATGTTTTAGTTGGTTTGCTATGACAGGGACATAGCTCCTAAATCTATAGCCTGGTAAAATTGACTATATCCCCGGGATAAAGCATGTATCGATCAATTTAGGGCAATAACATTTAATCATTGTACTATAGGTTCTTTTGTATGGAGATAAATACGCAAAGGAGTATTAATACATTTATATGCCATACTATATACTACCTGCTATTAACTTCTATGTTTTAACTACTTTGTAATAATGCCCCGTTTGTTTATTTTTTGTCACAAACGTAAAGAGCTATGGCGGGTTGCTTTGCCTATTTCCCCAAAGTTGTGTCCGTGAGTTCGCGCGTGCCACCGTGTACTGTCATGACGCGTCCTCATGTATTTTTATACAGGTAGCTCTATCGGAATCCTGTGTCTAATAATAGATTATTGTAAACAGCCGAATTCAATGCCATGGCTATTGATACATGCGTTTAACGATAAAGACTCAAAATGCTTATTTCGCATTATTTTTATGAATTTAAAACAAATAATATATTGTACGTAATACAAGATCGTACAATCATTACCAACAAGTTTTTGAAAGGATTTAATTTCCATTAATACTGCCTGCGTCATGCCGTTACATGCTTTCTTACAAAATACACATCTTGATTTTCCTGCACATATGAATGACAAAAATGATATACATCATTTTCGAATAGCATTTCTTGCACGTGTATTGCGATCCTTACTTTCGATGTTTGCTACAGTCTTCCTGCATTTCAAACAAATGAGACTGTCCGCAACGATGAATTTTTCCGTATTTTCGGTAGTTATTTGCGATAATAACAGTTCATTTTTATTGGCTTGGCCTTTTTTTATTCTGACGCAACAATCCCACATTTATTTGGTATTTTAGCATCATTTGTTTGGTTAAATTAGATAGATAAAATCACTCGTGTCAATTGGAGGGTAAAACAATTCATAAATATCATTTAAAATGATGTCTTATCTACAAAGCGTAGCTGTCCTGTACACGTGTACAATGAGTTGTTGACATGATTGCATAGAAGATAAATCAATAGGTATATTATTAAAATTAAATAAAATGTTCCATTGGTTTTAAAAATATTGTATAACTGAATGAAGGAAAAAGATCTCATGCTTGATTATTCAAAAAACAACAACACCTAAACGTGGATTCGAACTTGCAACGTCCATTTCGTCTGGTCACAAGTCAACTGCGTTACATATTCGGCTACATCCGACATAGACGAAGATGGGAATACAAACTGTTTTAACCCAAGAAACACCTGTCGCAGTTTAAGAAACTCACTCACCACTGTTTTTCATTCTTTTGAGCACTTTTCCAAGGGAGGACCACTTTTCCGGAATACGATTTGTTTTTGCATATAACATCACGGAATATATTTTTTTTATTCAAAAGTTGGTCCTCGGATGGGAAAGTGTTGATACCGGTTTTTTAAGTCTGGGAAACCCCGTCACTTTCATAGATATAGTGAATATGGCTATATTTGCTGTATCATATTAACAATACCTAATATATCAGCAGTTCAAAAAATCATATTCAATTGGTTTTATATCTATTCTATGCATTTTCGCTGCTAGAAATTATTTATTCATTAAGATTGTTTTCAGTTTTCATAAATGCCGACTTAGGGAAATATGGGCAGATTTCCGCCATAGCTCTTTAGCTCCTCAGAGCTAATGCTGAACGACTAAAATAGTATACACTCGTACGCTAAAAATAACCCAGCCAATCGATAACTTAAATACAGTGGCATGGCGTAACAAGTTGTGTACCAGCAGAGTGCGTGTATAGTTTATAACTAGATTGTATGAAAACAAAGTTTAAATTAAATGTTACTGAAACCCACATGGGTGTGTAATTGTATACAGCCCGCCATTGATTACGTTTATATACTTACAGTTTATAACACACAGAGAGGTCAAAATATATAGTCCCGCTGGGTCTGGTATTGTCTGTGCTGGTATCTAGTTCTCGCCTTGATCTCATCGGTTTTTCCGTTCACGGCTTCCTGCACACTCTGCAATACAGCTAGATTGTGCACTTGCTGGTGCAGATATTCAGATGCATCGTGTATTTAAACAAGTATCGTGTATATATATCCACTGACAACTTCATATTTGTCATTTCTATTTTTGAAAGGGGGGGGGGGGGGGGGGGGGGGGAGGATCCTTTATCGAAATATAGAAATGCTATATACAAAGGCAAAATAATAGCTAAATTATATGGTTTTAAGAAAGACAAAGAAACACGCAGACAAAACACATATACCACGCTCACTTTCGCTCTCTGCATCCCTGGGATATGTCATAGTAAAAGTGAAGGCACCAGGCAAGCTATTTGATTGATCTCAGGTGGAAAAAAACATCACCAATCGCAAGGCTGGTATCTGTCTTTTCAAGATTACAGATGAGCGACACGTACCCGACCTCAAAGCCAGCCAATTTCACCGTTACGCGACCGCGAGATTCTTTTGAAGTACATCAAAGGATAAAACTGCTCTTCTTGTCTCATCCAAAAGGTGGTGCACACTTAGGCTTCGATTTTGTCATGACATATTCCAGGGGTGCAGAGAGCGAAAGTGAGCGTTACCCTTGGAGTATCGAGGATAAACAGTATATGACGTCACACTATCACATGTAAATAAGACCGTAATAAAATGAAGACTAAAAATACTTGAACAGGACAATAAAATTCAGCGAAAAAAAGATTAGACACCAATCTTGCCGCAGCATGACGCTGTCTCATTGATTGCCCAATGACCTTCTATCATGGGAATCCCCTATCTTACTAGACCGACTACATTTAAGACTACCTGACCGAACACTGCGGATGAGACGGACAAGACAAATTCACATATGAAGAAACAGCTAGTGGACTGGCCCATTTTGCGGCCTTGTCAATTTTAATTATCACAAAGGGTGAGGCACAGCGTACATTTTGTACGGAGCTACTTTACAGAAAAATGAAAACCTGCACGGTCCAGTACGTCCCCTTACTCACACTAACGTCTTGTAAATAAAGAATAGCGTGCTGAGAGAAATCTGCCGGGTGGGTGCTATATACGTCATTGAAGAATTAACAGTGGCGAAGCATACAGGTATGCATCCTCGATATCCAGGGGTTATAATCACTTTCGCTCTCTACACCCCTGGAGTATCGAGGATTTCTTTTATCATATATTTTCATTATTTTCGCTTTTTTATGATTAAATATCCGTAGGTCCGTATCAATCATAAGAACGGAAATAAATACAAAAAACTTCTTGAGAATTTTAGTCCGACGGAACATATTATACCCTGTTGTCCTCAGATAATCGTTTAAGGGCCTTTTTTTAGCAAGTAAAATTTTTACTTGTTAAATAATCAGACTAAAAGGTGTTCCCAGAATACAGGAGATTGCTTCTATAGGGCATAGTAAAATAAGTCTAGCAATGTAAGCATACACTCCCATAAATGATTTGCTACGCAGAATAAGATCTCTCGAGGGACACTTATAACGAAATATGGATATCACCATTGGTTTTCGTAGACATTGAACAGGGAAAAGTGAAAGAAACAGAAAACACTGGGGGAAAACAACTGATCGTGAGAGGAAGAAAGGTCCCATAATGATCATACATATGTCAAAAGCCTTGTAGAGGTCGTGGATAGGGTGTTTGGAAAGCATGGGACACCACAGATATAATAAGACCTTGTCAGGCTATCCACATAGCACAAACAGAAAACAGATAGGATGTGCCAGTGTATGGGTGTATACGTCTATGAAACAGGTTTTAAAAAACCTTCGGGATTAGATTTTAGGAACATAAAAGATCTCAAGAGAAACGGCATAGTAAATAATGACATCGCAAATTGTGAGGCTTGAGAATATCTCAGATCATGTTCAATCATGACTGTCGTCGGTAAGCTGTGTTTTGAGTTCTTCGCGTGACGGCCCACCAGCCCTAGTAAGAGCGAATGGTCCTTTTTCGGTCTCTCGTCCCTCAACATAGCTGTTAATATCTTTGCCCCGTTTATTTTGTTTTGTTTTGAGGAGATATTAAATTATATCGGACTAACTGCCATGAACATGGGCAATGTGGAATACAGAAGGTGATCGTCACTCAAAACCATCCGAAGATGGTCGGGAGAAGACAGATGTGGACCGGAGTCCTGAGGAATGCAACGATATCCTTTACAATTTCAAATGTTGATTTTTTAAGATTTTAATATATCTGGCTCTAAATCCACAGGGACCTGAGAATTTGTTACAGCTATATTGGGACATAAACTAATCTACTCTCAAGTTTTTGTTCAAATATAACTGTAACAGATTTACAGGTCCCTGTGATCCTAGGAATTTACATTTGGAACTTTAGAAGAAGCTATTTTAACACGTCTTTTCTAAATGACCTTGAATCTAAAATCAATGTTATTTACTTAAACAAACTGGTAATAACAAAGTCGTATTTTTTTAATAATTTTGTCCGGGTCTCTTGGTTGGTTGTATAAAGATTTCAACACATTCGACACCCATGACCGTAATTGTTAGTCAGTCAATGTCAGTTTTATACACTTATCCTCGACCAATGCAAGCATGCTACTGGTCATAATCCTCGATATCCAGGGGTTACGCTTACTTTCGCTCTCTGCAACCCTGGAATATGTCATAGCAAAATAGAACTAAGTGTTTAGCACCTTGTGGACGAGACGAGAAGGCTAGTTTGATCCCTTGATGTACATCAAAAGAATCTCGCGGTCGCGTAACGGTAAAACATACTGGCTTTGACGTCGGGCATCGCTCCTCTGTAATCTTCAAAGGACAAGTATCAGCCTAATGATTGGTCAGGAATTTTTACCTGACACTAATCAATTAGCTACCTTTGTGCCTTCAATAATTTGCTATGACATATTCCCGGGGTGCAGAGAGCGAATGTGAGCGTAATCCCTGGATATCGAGGATGCTTGCCAAATAGCATTACATTGGGCTAATCATTCCAAGAGAAGTTATTTCAAGCAAAAAGTAAACACCTGAAGGATGACAGCTGCAGCACCATCACAGCTCAGACAATTCGGGCCAAGAGAGTATAATGATGGTTTGCATGTGAACAAGCTGTTTTCATACTTTTACATTTAAATTCACCTTGTTCATAGGAAGGATCCGTGAGATTATGTCATGGCACAGCGTTGAGTTGTCCGTACGTCGACTAAATTTGGCCTGGAGCAGCCTTGGAAAAAAGGGACTAAATTTTGAATAGACGGAGGGTGTGCCCCTGACATGGACACAGAGTACAATTTTGTATAAACGGAGAGTGTGCTCCCCAATGAATATTTAAAATATTTCTCCTTCAGTACGATTGGAGAGAGTTTAACAAATGTGTTGTGTCTAGAGCATCGTTGGGCAAGGGGGCTCAATTTTTATTAAACAGTGTGCCCCTCCTAGATTCAAGGTCCAATAGAGGAACATTGTACTAGATGTTTCAATCCTTTTCCTTCTGTTCGAAGGTGTAGGACATAGTTAGGCAAAGGGGACTCTATTTGTATAAATGGAGGTTTCGGCCTCTGTAGGGATCGAAGGGCGGGGCCCAATAGGGATCTTTAAAACTCTTCTTCGTTAGAATGGAGGTTTTTTTTTATCAAATTTGGTGTTAAGAATCTCTTGTCAAGGAGGACTCAAATTGTATAAATGAAGAGTTACCCCCTCCCGGGCACAGAGGGGTGAGACTCAGTGGGGATGGGTGTGGGTGTGGGTGGGGTGTTGGGATATTGTAGTGTTTAAAATCCTTCTCCTTCGTTACAAATTCAGGATTTTAAATTTAATTTGGAGAAGAGTATTCTTGGGCAAAGTGGAATAAATTTTGTGTATTTAGAGGATGTGTCCCCATAACAGCAAAGAGGTGGGGCCAAATAGGGGATAGGGGAAATCAACGTAAATGTTTAAAAACCACTTCACTTCGTTGGGGCAGACAGAAGGGACCCACTGAGGGGCGGGTGTTGCTGAGAGACATGGCCAATATTTGCAAATAGTTGAAGTATTACACTTAATGAGAATATTTTCTTCACATGGTTGCTGAATTATACAGGCCCTCTGTGCCTCTTACTATATTAACTTTTACAGTGAAAGTAAAACACTTGACATGGAAGTAAAACAAAGTCTTTATCTCTGGTATAACATTGATTTCATTTTCATTTTTTAAATAACAATAATCCATCATTCTCAAATCACATTAACCCTTTCACCACTGTAGACTGCAATGGACTCATCCATATCAATGCATGGTAGAGTCCTCGAAAGTTACATAGGGGTAAAAGGGTTAAAAAGTAGCTGGAATGCATTACACTTCATTTTACAATACAGCAATACTAACAGGGTACATTGACACACAATACATTACAGTCACATGAACAGGGGATGTTCATTATACAATACAGAAATACTAACAAGGAGCATTCATTTCACAAAACAGCAGTACTAACATGACACATTACCCTATACAGCCATCCTAGTATACTTATAGACATTTGTATTTTTGATTAAACAGATCAAAGTTCAAGCTCTGTTTCTTTGATAAGAAAAAGAATCTATATGTTTGATGGTACACACAATATTATATTTCTTGTCTGGATATTTCATACTTGAGAGTGAAAAAAATTTTTTTTTTTTTTTATATTTAACAAAATTACAATATGTGTTCTTTTCTGTACTTTCAATGTGTTGCATTCATACAAGATCTTTACTATTGCAGAAGCTTATACAACCACTATGGTAACTGTTTTCCTGTGTGGTCCATTTTGTTGGAATGTCGCCTTTAAAACTAAATACAGAATAAACAACAATCTACATAAATGTGATTTGTATTAAAACCTGAATACTGTAAACGTGGAATGTTACGTGCGGGGGAAATTTACGCTTATTACGCGTAGTTGGATTGTTAACGTAAATTTCCCCCGCGCCTATGGTTTCGACGATAGTGTAAAGAACGACAACTCTGATAGATATTGTTGGTACATGTGTGTGATGTCCTCCTGTAATATTGCTTTGTTAACGTAATACTAATTAACGTGCATTGTCTTGTAATGGTATAAGATAAAAACAATAACTGAAATAAACTACTTAATTAATTGAAGTTTTTAATGTACAACAAATTTGAAAATATATATAAAGGCACAGGTAAATGCACCTGTCATCATGGAAGCGACATTAACTGCGCTCGATGATTTACGATAACTTACGAATAGTGTATGGTTTTATCATTGTTATTTGGAAAATGTGTTTGTTTCGACTAAATAGCACTCACCTGTTTGATCCGAGGTGATAACGAGATCAGCTGGTATAAGACACACATACACATGAATACAGTTCACCGTTATTTTCATCTGTCCAATGACCAGTCGGTATGCATAAGTAACATGTACTCCGTAGCTACTAGTATTTTTACCTGTACATCTTTTGTAAAGTAAGGGAGATAACTCTGCAGAGCAAACGTCTGTCTACCGCGACTGTGTAAATTACCCCTGCGCGTATAGTTTTGACCTTCAAATCGGGTAATTTTCACCCAGCGTTAACAACCACGTTTACAGTAATACTTCGACATCATAAGATTTCCTGACTAGATAATAAATTCACTAATTAAGTCATCATGTGTATTGTGTATCGGGGATATGGAAATTCTACCTGTGGAATTTCGGTTAAAAATATCACTTGCTCCAAATTCTACACCTGAGGTTAGAATTTCTGTACTCCTCATACCTTCATAATCAATAACTCTTTTTCTTCCACTTGTTATCTGGGATTTTGATAAAAAAAAATACATTGACATTGTAAATGCATTGATGATTAATTACAGTAGATTTTTTCTAGATATAATTAGAGCAGGGAAAATGGTATACTTCTTAATTCCAGCAGTATGCAAATGGCAATTTAAAAAAAAAAGGACAAGAATAGTATATTTCTGTGAGACAATGTCAGTTGCTAGCCATAATTTGGCATTAGATGCTTCCCATCTAATTAAAACTGTGATTCAAAATGATATCATTTATCAAAATGACACAATATAGAGCATCAGCTGACAAGGTTCTGAACACTTCGACCACAGAACAATTTTTATGCACTTCCTACCCAGGATTAAGAAGAATTTAGTTCTTGAATTGGAGGTCAATGGGTGCACTTAATATGGAAAACAGTTATCTCACATGGGTCTTCTGCATTTGACATGTGTATCATGCATATATAAAGGTGGGAGAAATATACAGTTCCTGTGACATCAAAGAACACAGTTTTATGATAATTGTTTCATTTTCAAATAGTTTTAATTTGGGTTGGGAAAATGTCACATTTAATGACTGATCACCATGCTTTCACTAAGATGCTTACCGGTAGTAAAGATACACAGTAGCTATAGTGTTTAAAATCAAACATTGACAGTTCCTGATATGTCTATAGTCTATACTGGGGTAAATGTTTCTTTCATATGAAGGGCTGCACCCAGAAACATTATATTACTATTTTGGATTAGCCTCTGTTGTTCTAGGGCCCTAATACCTGGGTACCCGCACACAGGTCCTTCGAGTCTAAAGTCATGGTATGGAATGTTTCACATTGTTTTAACAACCTTTTTTCACAAAGTGAGTCAATTCCTTTTTTCAATGTAAAGCAGTGAGTCATTCTTTGTAAAATAAATGAATTTTCCAAATTTCAACGAGTCAAAATTTAAAAAAACAAAACACAACATGACTTGCAGGTAAATAAAACACTAGTTAATAACTTTCATTTCAAAACGGTGGGAAATTAAAAGTTTCAATATTCCAGTACTACAATTGATATTTTAGATATACAGTAAATAGATGACAACCATGTATGAAAAAATGTATTGTTCCAGTAAACATTGTCACTTGCAAAACCATAAAGTCATTCCTTTTGTTTGTACCTTGCAGACATGTCATTATTCAGTATCTTACCCCGTTTCAAAATTGAGCACCCTGTGACCCATGACAACCCCATGTTCTTTCCTGCTCTATTCCTGTAATATCTAACAAATCTAACTAAGATACATTAATACAAAGAACATATCCTTTGTGTTAACCTTCCGTGATGGAGCTCTACTGAATACCGTTAGGTATCCATCTCTGATTCCTACTACTGCCAACTTCCGATAACCAGAATGTTGGTTCTCCTCTACTCCGATACAATTTCTAAGATACATTAAGTGGAATAATAATTGTTGTATATAAATTGTTGTTAGTTTAAGTCTGTTAACTCTTCGCGTCGCCCTGATCCATTGGCTCTGGTTTATGGTCTGATCCTCCTTGCTGTTGACTCTGCTGGTTTTGTTCTTGAAGCTCTCTCTTGATTTGTCTGTTGGATTCTAACAGCTCGTCAATTCTACCATACAGGTTATCATTCTGGTCTTCTAGTTTATTCATCCAGGTGTCTAGTTGGTCCAGCGTTTTGTCAATGTCTGCATACTCTAAAACATGAATAAAAAAGACATTACTTTTATTGTTGTATAAAATAGAGTTATCTATTGTGTAGATAAAGAATCTTTATGATGAGCCATGGCCATAACTCTGCAAGTAAGCTGTCATGGGTGCCGAACTCAAAATGCAACACTTAGCAATGTCAAGACATATGTGCCCATAAGTTCCCATGTCCAAAATTATAGTTATATTCTGAAATAAACAAAGGGTCATTACATATCCTTCTTCTTCTTACATAGTAAGGATCAGAACTTCAAGGTTGGAGTGCAATTGACCCTGGGAGGTGGCACTTCAAAAGAATATATTTTTGTAATTTTTAGGAATAATATTTAACTAGATGTACATACCGATAATGTACAAGTTGGAGCCACATGCACCAAAATTAGTTGGCCAGGATAAAGACCCTCCGTCCTTCCATTAATTGAAATATTATTTCAAATCGACTGCAATTACCTTTACTGCATTCTTGAACTATCGTATCGATGCTTTCGACTTCACTAATTTCAACAGTATTTCCAGAATGACTGTCACCGTTTTGCATTGGTAAGTTAGTCTCACTCTCCGTGGAGCTATCGGCATTCGTGTTATTTTCCTCGGCCATTTTCACGTCATGTGATCATTTGTTGGCCGTCTGATAGAGCGGCTATTTGATTGGCCACAGCTGTTGATATGGACCAATGAAAGCTTACCTAACATCTAAAGCATCCCCGAAGACGACGCCATTGACAAGAACCAAGAAAGAACATGTAAGTCTGAAAAAATCGGTAAACATCAAGTAAACGAAGCAATTATGTTCTTAAAAGGTCCTCCAGATTGAAATATTCATTTTCCAAGCTTCTTTTGAAACATTAATTTCTGTTGAATAATGAACGGAAAGTCCTGTGATTCTTAACCGGCAGTACGCATCTTTCCCTTGGTTTATTTACCGACGCGAACCCCAATTTGCTCTATGTCTAGTGCTCTGAATTGCTGATGTGGCATCGTTGAAAGACAGTTCAAGCTCTGTTTGATTACAAATCATATTTTGCATCCTTTGTTTTAAGTGACTGGTCCATTTAAAATATTAAAAAACAATGCTTAAGTTACAGGTAATTTTAAGCATATAGATTTGAGCTCGAGGATGGATCCATGGCCATAATCAATAAGTTTCGCTCAGATGACATCGTTGTGTATAGAATTCTTTTCTTCTAATGTATGCTGTACACTCGTACTAATTTGAATTCCGGTTAATAGATATTTACAATTACAAGTTCATTTTCTTATCTGGTAGGGTTGGAGTATTCAACTCCTACTGTAAGTAACTATCTTTTATAATTTGATGGTTGAAAACATGTGATTTTTAAAAGCATGGTCAGGGCCAAACAGTCAATTTATTACATTTGTCACAATAAAGAATGGATGAGCAGAAATAGGCGGTCTTTCCATATACATTCATATTTTATCATATTCATTCTTTTTACACAGATCCCAAGTCTCGAAAACTAAAATAAAATGGCAGACAACGAAAATGAAGCTGAACTTTTGGACTACGAAGAGGAAGAGAATGAAGCTACCGCTGATGGAGCAGGGGATGTCCAGCAACAAATAAAGAAAGACGTTAAGGGAACATATGTGTCCATCCACAGTTCTGGATTCAGAGATTTTCTTCTGAAACCAGAGTTGCTGAGGGCCATTGTTGACTGTGGTTTTGAGCATCCTTCAGAGGGTAATCCTTATTGATTTTAACAGTGCTGTTGTCAAAATAGTTTTTTATACTAGCCTTTGTTTGAATATGTTAATACATTTTCCATTGAAATTACGAGTTACAAGTAGATGTGTAGTCAACTGATCTAAAAATCCATAATGTAAAATTGTAAAATAAGTAGCCTGGGCATATTTTGTATCAGAATTGGTATATGTTCCAAGTGTTGCAGTGGCAGCAGACATAAGTAGTTTTTTTTCTTGACGGCTTGTGACCCCATTATCAACAGAAGAAAAAGATACTATAGAGGGCTCCATACATTACTCGTATCTTTATAGCATATAATTTGATGATGCATCGATATGGTAAAAGTATTAGTTTTGGCTCTAAATAATGGCCTTCCTGTTTGGCACACCATTACCGATTGTATATTACCAAAGTAATACAAATATTACATTGGTTTTTTCAGTTCATTCTGATATTGACCTAATTCATTGAAATGTTGTAGTGTTGTGGTGATGCTAAAACCTGTTTATTACTTTTTCAGTTCAGCACGAGTGCATTCCTCAAGCAATTTTGTCTATGGATGTGTTATGCCAAGCGAAGTCTGGTATGGGAAAGACTGCTGTGTTTGTACTGGCGACACTTCAGCAGCTGGAGCCTGTGGACGGGCAGGTGAGCTTTTCCACATGCCAGACTAATTATATTTTCCTGTCAACTTGACTGACATTTTTAGCTCACCTGGTGAGCTTATGCCAAATCGCAGCGTCCGTCTGTCCACAAAGAAAAAAAACCCTGCTCGGTTGGTAAAAGTGTTCAGCAAGCTTAATTTGGATGACATTAATTCAATTTTAGCACTACATTTCCATTTCCATAAACAGTTTCATAACTCATCCGAATCTAAACCACCAAATTTTTTCAGTTTAAAAAACATTGTCGATTGCAATATTAATACCCATGCCTTCCCAGTAAATGTTAAATATTTATAGATCTGTTGTCAATTTTATAGTCAATGCCATACATGGCTAGCTTTCAAAAAAGTTACAGGCCATGACCTTAGGTTCAGAAAGGTTTCATGATCAATGAATTTGTTTTTACTAGGTGTCTGTGTTGGTTTTGGCACACACTAGGGAACTGGCTTTCCAGATCAGCAAGGAGTATGAGCGTTTCAGCAAGTACATGACCAGCACAAAGATAGCTGTTTTCTTCGGTGGAATGTCCATTAAGAAAGACGAAGAGGTCCTAAAAAAGAACTGCCCACATATTGTAGTGGGAACCCCAGGGAGGATCCTAGCACTTGTACGGACAAAACAACTCATCCTGAAGCATGCCAAGCATTTCATTTTAGACGAATGTGACAAAATGTTGGAAGAACTTGGTGAGTATTTTTATTTTAAGAAGTCTACTTGGATGTTTGAATCAATGATCCTAACACGAGAAGGCTATTCAAGATAGGAATATATTATTATGGGGAAGTAGGGATCATGCACTTGCATGAAAGTATATGGATAGTGGCGGTCACATAATAGTCCTCCCTTATGCCCCCAATCAGTAGCTTAATAAAATGAACACTAAGTAAAAATAATCAAATTGCATACATGAAATTCAATGTAAATTTTCTACATTTTACACTACATTCATCTATTTTTGTTTGTTAATAAATCTATTCTTTAAAACAAACTAATTTGAGAATGCAGATTAGACATGCTATGTTTTAGAAGAACAATGATCATAATCTGAAGATTTTCGAACCTTTTTATTTTTCAGACATGAGGAGAGATGTCCAGGAGATATTCAGAGCAACCCCCCATGAGAAGCAGGTCATGATGTTCAGTGCCACCCTCAGCAAAGATGTCAGATTAATCTGCAAGAAGTTTATGCAAGATGTAATTACCGCACACAATTCTTTACGTCGACACATTTCGTGAAAATCGTTGTTCCTGGGCCTTAATGCTATCGGCTTCGATACAAAAAGTAGTTTATCTCAAAAAAATGTGGAATAATCAAATAGCAGTTGAAAATATCTGATGCATCGAGAGATGGATAAGTCGTGAATATCTTTAAGAAATAGATTATGAGGAATCCTTCCGAAAACGCAGATATCTTTAAGCAAAAATTAAATCCGATTTTTTTACTCCTTGATTAAACAAACTTTTTTTTTTAATTTGTTGTTATATAAATGGAAAGCGGTTGCAAAAAGTCAATTCTACATTTTGAAGTCATTTTATCTTGGAGAAATATATAGTTGCGTCTGAAATCTTTAAAGGAAAAAGTATACTAAAATTTGGCTGCAAAATTAAAATTTTAAGTAGAACGTCTCATCATTTTCATACATTTTAAGAAGACACATTGTAGGAAATAGGGCTGCCGAGTAAGAAGATCAACAGAGGCACACAAAGTCCCTGCGCTCTCAAAGCAACGGGCTAGTTGTGTCTCGCCTAGCTTTTAGAATAATGACATAGATAACCACGCGCGCGGTTTCAAGAGATTGGGGCCTTCTCCCAGATATTCGGATGCTAAAGAGGAACGCGAGTAGGGCCTTGTAGAGAGGACTTCACACAAGGAGATGAGTGGAGTCTTCACCATGGTCGTGGCCTTCCACCCGGTGTACTCCGTCCAAGACCAGCTTCCTTGCGAAGATGTGAGGTACCAAGTTGTTGGTGGGCATTAGCTGATTGTCCAGTACCAGCTTCTCTGGCTCAAGTTGAACCAGGAGTGGAAGGGTGTTCAAATGTTGATTAAAAAAAAAATGTGAAATTTTAATTCAAATGGTTTGTGAAAAGAAATATGTTTTTGTTTCAATATATAATAATTAAATTTCTAAGGCTATATGTATTTAAAAGAATTCTTTCATGGGAATGCACTAGTATAATAAAGCTAAAGTTCAGAAGTGTAATGATGATATTTTGACTGAGGAATTCTAGAAAGTGTTGTTTTAGTTAATATAACATGCCATTGCAGGAGAAGTTTCTTATCATTTTACTTTCAGCCTATGGAAGTGTATGTGGATGATGACTCCAAGCTCACCCTTCATGGTCTGCAGCAGCACTATGTCAAACTGAAGGACAACGAAAAGAACCGAAAGCTATTTGAGCTTCTTGATGTTCTTGAATTTAACCAGGTAAAAATACAGACCTATAGTCATTACGGTCAACAGATTAAACAGCAATCCTTTCAGCGAGCCTAGTCGACCACTCGTGCAATCCACATTATTGAGTAGCCGGTCCCATATTTCAGTAGACTATCTAACACTCTATTGTTAGTGTTGAACAAATGCTAATTATGCACCTTTTTAGGTCACCTATTCGAAGCTTCAAACTTGCATTTAAAATGATATACATTTACAATGAAATTGATGCAACATCCTTTAGTCCCTTGTGGCATGTGGTTCCCTTTTACCCATATGTTGTGAATATTCCACTATGCGATGTTCTTGTTCTGCTGTGGCAATCCAACATTATTTGTCAGCTTTTGTTTTTAGTTGGAGTTTTAAGAAAGAAAACTTAACATAATCGAATAGTCCTGATTGGTGTTTTAAGGAATATTTGTAGGGAAATTGGAGGTAATACACTAATACTGCATGTCTTTATCTGACATCACAGATATCTCTTTATAAATACAACAAATCATGTGCAAGGCACAATTGGGGACAAATGTATTCTTCTACATGAAATATTGATCTGTCTGCAACGTCAAAGAAGAATGGTGTTGTTTGATATGTAGGTTTGAAAAAGTGGCTCTGTATATCATCAGAGACCGCACCCTCAGTTATCAGAAATTATAATAGAAATTTTGTTTCATTTAAAATTTTATTTTGAGTTGAAACAAGCAGTTTGCAAAACATTTATCAATGAGTCCACATCCTTGTTGTAAACCGGGTCATATTCCTGTAGAGAACATATTGCCAACTAGTGTTTATTGGCTTTAGTCATATGGTATCTCGCACTCGTCCATATCAATCTATGATGACAAACGTCGTGCACCACTCTTACACAATAATGGGGATGACACGATTACCACCTTTGTCTGAGATTTAAAAGCAAACTCGTGCTTTTCTCAAATGGTATAATCCCCGTATTTGATCGACTTCATGCTTTTCATGTCCTGCTCCATTATTCATGAATAACACTATTAAAAATGATACAAATCAATTGTTGACAAAAAGGGGATACCCTTGGTAAATGAAAAGTATTTCATGTCAACAGAACCAACTGTAGAAGAACAGGTAAATTATCATGCCCATCAATGCGAACATTATGCACGACATCTCGGTGATTGGTATAACCATTACTTACTTTCTCGGATCACTGATATTGGAATATCATATTGTGTTTCCCTCAAAATTCAACTTTTCGAAACAATAGTTGGTTTCATATCATTTGTGCGAAAGTAGCTGATGATTACAAAGGTTTTCTGTAGAAAGAACAAAGTCATCAGCCCAATGAGTATAAAAACCTGTTATAGATAATGATTTCAGTTACTGTTTATAATATCTGCGTTTAACAAATAATTTAAAAGATTTAAAAAGTGAGTTGACCTGCTTGTTGAAGTCGGCATGCATTGGTTTTCCTCTTGTTCACAGTGATCAAACTCAAATAATGTACAGAGAATAAATATCGGTCTATGATGACAAACGTCGTGCACCACTCTTACACAATAATGGGGATGACACGATTACCACCTTTGTCTGAGATTTTAAAGCAACTTGTGCTTTTCTCAAGTGATATATGCTGGACTACATGCTTTTTAAGTTGAGGTCAACTTTTCAAAACAAAAATTGGCTTAATATCGTTGGTTTGAAAGCACTTAACAAATATTCAATTTTTTTGTATAAAGAACTTAATTCGTCTGTCCAGTGGATATAAAATATGTAATGAATAATGATTTCAACTACTGGTTATAATATCGGCATTAAACAAATAATTTAAAAGATTTAAAAAGTGAATTCTGCTTGTTGAAGTCGGCATGCATTGGTTCACTCTTGTTCACAGTGATCAAACTCAAATTATGTACAGAGAATAAATATCGGTCTATGATGACAAACGTCGTGCACCACTCTTACACAATAATGGGGATGACACGATTACCACCTTTGTCTGAGATTTTAAAGCCACTTGTGCTTTTCTCAAATGATATATGCTGGACTACATGCATGCTTCTTCAGTTGAGGTCAATTTTTCAAAACAAAAATTGGCTTAATATCGTTGGTTTGAAAGCACTTAACGAATATTCAAGTTTTGTGTATAAAGAAATTAATTCGTCTGTCCAGTGGATATAAAATATGTAATAAATAATGATTTCAACTACTGTTTATAATATCTGCATTAAACAAATAATTGACTAGATTTAAAAAGTGAGTTGATCTGCTTGTTGAAGTCGGCATGCATTGGTTTTCCTCTTGTTCACAGTGATCAAACTCAAATAATGTACAGAGAATGAATATCCGTCTATGATGACAAACGTCGTGCACCACTCTTACACAATACTGGGGATGACACGATTACCACCTTTGTCTGAGATTTTAAAGCAAATCATACTTTTCTCAAATGGTAAATGCTGGACTTGATGATTTTTAAGTTGTCGCAAGATAATCTGAAGCCGATGATTGAACTACTTGAGACTTCACTGTTTTTATCCTTTTCCTGCTCCATTATTAATAAATAATACTAAAATGATGCCAAACAGCTGTTAACAAAACTAGAATAATCTTGGTGAATGAAAGACATTTCCTGTCAAGTGGACCTACTGTATAAAACAGCTCCAATTATTTATGCGAGTCAATGATGACAAACAAACGTCATGTACGACGCATCAGTGTGGCAAAAACCATTTCTAACTTTCTGGGATTAGTGATGTAGGAACATTGTATTGTTTCCCTCAAAATTCAACTTTCCTAAACAAAAGTTGGCTTCATATCATTGGTTTGGAAGCAGTTGATGGGTATATATCATTGGTTTGGGAGCAGTTGATGGGTATATATCATTGGTTTGGGAGCAGTTGATGAATATTAAGGTTTAGAGTATCAAGAATGAATTAGTTGGCTTAAATCCATTAATGTACAGAGAATCCATATCCATCAGTGATGACAAACGTCGTGCACCACTCTTACACAGTAATGGGGATAACACGATTACCACCTTTGTCTGAGATTTGAATGTGTGTGGGGGAAAAACTTCTTTGCAGCACTAAAAGTAGATGATTTTTAAGGATTTTCAAATCGTGCAAATTTAAGTTACTAAAAATTAGATATCTAGGCATGAAGAGCTTGCTCATGAATTTCTTCTTCTTTTTTTAAGTGGATGAATTTTTGTTATATATTTCATATGTTTTCCCAATCTCGTATTCCATACCTAAATTAACCCTCCTTTCACCACTGCAGACCATAATGGACTCGTTCAAATAAATGTATGGTCGAGTCAAATAAAGTGACCTAGGATTGAAAGGGTTCAAGAGATTAAAACTTGGGACTTGATTTAACTCATTACTAGCAATATGCTCAGGTTAAAAGAATGGCAGAAACTGGATGCAGTTGACATGTCTTATGATCCTTTGATATTTGCTATTAACCTAAAATTTAGCCAACGTGTGTTTCTCTGAAATGGTGATTTTATACGGCTAGAACTATGAGGATTGGTAGTGGTGCAAGTTTTTTTTTGTGGGTCATGATTGACAAAAACTCGCACCGTTTTAGCCACCAGATTTCCTGGTAGGGTTTTGACTGTCTTCAGGAAAGCTAGATTAGTCCCAAGTGAACATAACAAGATTCCAACTACTGATTAAATATAAGTCGCCATTAAGACAGATAATTGACTTCATACAGAAGTGCATGTAAATTTTTTGTTCCGGTCATCATAAATGATTTTTCTCTATTCACCATCAACAAAAATAACAAGGATCCTTGTCTATGATGACAAACGTCGTGCACCACTCTTACACAATAATGGGGATGACACGATTACCACCTTTGTCTGAGATGTTAAAGCAACTTGTGCTTTTCTCAAATGATATATGCTGGACTACATGCTTCTTAAGTTGAGGCCAACTTTTCAAAACAAAAATTGGCTTAATATCATTTGTTTGAAAGCACTTAACGAATATTCAAGTTTTGTGTATAAAGAACTTAATTTGTCTGTCCAGTGGATATAAAATCTAATAAATAATGATTTCAACTACTGTTTATAATATCTGCATTAAATGAATAATGGACTAGATTTAAAAAGTGAGTTGATCTGCTTGTTGAAGTTGGCATGCATTGGTTTTCCGCTTGTTCACTATCAAACTCAAGTAATGTACAGAAAATAAATATCCGTCTATGATGACAAACGTCGTGCACCACTCTTACACAATAATGGGGATGACACGATTACCACCTTTGTCTGAGATGTTAAAGCAACTTGTGCTTTTCTCAAATGATATATGCTGGACTACATGATTTTAAAGTTGAGACCAACTTTTCAAAACAAAATTTGGCTTAATATCGTTGGTTTGAAAGCACTCAACGAATATTCAAGTTATGTGTATAAAGAACTTAATTCGTCTGTCCATTGGATATAAAATTTGTAATGGATAATGATTTCAGCTACTGGTTATAATATCGGCATTAAAAGAATAATGGACTAGATTTAAAAAGTGAGTTGATCTGCTTGTTGAAGTCGGCATGCATTGGTTTTTCTCTTGTTCACTATCAAACTCAAATTATGTACAGAGAATCCATATCGGTCTATGATGACAAACGTCGTGCACCACTCTTACACAATAATGGGGATGACACGATTACCACCTTTGTCTGAGATGAATCCAAATTTTCCTTAAAGCTACACAAGTCATTCTGTTTTTGAAAAACCATTGCCACATATAGCCCACTGTAACATCAGTGTCTCCTATTTTTACTGCAATCATCATTGTGAAATTTGTTCAAAGAAGCATTATCCTGTGTAACACTGTATTGAATGGACACCTTCTTGTTTACAGGTGATCATCTTCGTAAAGTCCGTCCAGAGATGTATGGCCCTGGCACAGTTGTTGGTGGAGCAGAACTTCCCCGCTATCGCCATCCATAGAGCCATGACACAGGAGGAAAGGTGAGTTAGGATCTGGCAATCATATGGCATTTGTCAATAGAAAAGGCAAGCTTTATTTTCAGTTCAGTTTTAAGCAAGTTTGCCTGGTTTCTGCAGAGCAGATCTTAGATGACCGCCTTATTGGAAGTCTGCTTTGACTTGCCAACTACAGAAACTTGTATGGGAATGATTAGTACATTGTACAGAGCATTGTTTAAGAGAGTGTTGCATGTTTGAAGAAAGCTTGCAGGGATATCTCAAATGTTTACAGTGACTGAAATGCTCTCCAGAGTCTGATACACATATTTCATTTGATGTATCTTCTTGAAAGTATATTGGCAACCTAGGATGCCCATTGATAGATAACAAACCTGATGCTGTTCTTTAATTGCACATAGAGTTAGGTCATTCATAAATCTGTATTTTAAGATTAATTCTCCAGAAAGCCTACAAGTCTTGTTTTCTAAATTTGTTTGAAACTGAATATTGATCGTTTTTATCGCTCTTTTCAGATTATCTCGTTATCAGCAGTTTAAGGATTTCCAGAAAAGAATCCTGGTAGCCACAAACTTGTTTGGACGAGGAATGGATATTGAGAGAGTAAACATTGTGTTTAACTACGACATGCCCGAGAATTCTGACACATATCTACACAGAGTAAGTTAATACTTTAGTCATGCAACACGAAAAACCATGCATAATCTCCAAAATAACCCTGGCTCGGAAACTCTTGCGACCTTAAGAAATTGGTGAAAAGTAATTTACTTTCTGTTTGAATAAAAAATTCAAAAGTTTTGTGTAGAGTTTAGGTTGCTTTTTTTGGATAAACATTTAAAGAATGAAAATGCACCAAAAACATTCAAAAAGACCGTTAAGAAATGGAACATTTGTAATATAGATAGTCACATTCATACAAAAGTTTCAAGATGGAACACATCGTAACATCCTTCCAAGAATTTTGCATTTTACTAGAAAGATCACTTTTTCTTAGTAATCGGTTTAAAAAAAAAAAGATGATTGCAAATCTGTGAATGGGAATTATCAACTTTAAAATAGAAATTTAAAATTGAATTCTTTAAACTTTTTGAATTCTTAATTGATCTCTTTGACTGAATAGTGTTTGGTGACCATATTAAAACATTTGGAATAACTTATCTTATTTTTGTAGGTGGCACGTGCAGGAAGGTTTGGTACCAAAGGTCTTGCCATCACATTTGTCTCTGATGAGAATGATGCCAAGGTGTTGAATGATGTTCAGGAGCGATTTGAGGTCAACATCACAGAACTACCAGATGAGATTGACATCTCATCATACAGTAAGTAGGATTAAACTTCAATATACATGTAATCACTATTAGTAGCCCAATAATGTTCGGAAAAGGACTTCTTTGCAAATGCACATTATATTCAAACCATCTGTATCGTATTTCGAACGATCAGCTTTTAATGTATGATTGATCATTTAGCTAGGCCTGTGATGTGGCTGTAATGGGAATTCCATTTTGATTTGAGATACAAAATGTTAAAACTTTTCTGCACTTTATATGTGATGTAAAAAGAATGTACCTACTGATCTCATTTCTGTATTTCGTTCCTTTCAGTTGAGGGTCGGTGAACATGTCAACACCATTCTACAGTGAATCAACTTCGCAGGACTCTTCATTTGTACAGTGTAAATAATATTTTGTTCACTTCTCATAAAATATCATAGTGACTCGTCGTCTTCATCTGCCTCGTATATTCATCAAGACTGTGATTTCTAAACTGGAAAGTGTGATACATGAGGAAAATCATGATAATGACCAATTCTGGATTCTCAGCAATTTGTAGAGAGAATCAGGAAGACAAGAAATGTACTTTTGAAGAACAAATTTATTTTTTGTTTGTATTGGGGTTTCCTCATAGTAACAAGAAGTTATGGAGGAGAAAAAATGAATAAAAAAAGACTTTGGATACAAATCTGAGTGTTTGTCATTGTATTCATTAGTCTCTGCCACATGTGTCCAAACTTAAGATAATTACTATAACAGGAAACTAATTTAATCCAAGTTCAATACATACATGTATGTATCTTTGTTAAACACTAAAATTTGAGGTTCCTTGCTTTTTTCATTAAGATCAAGACACTTTGGAAAGCCTGATTCTACTGTCATGGTGGACATATTTGATCTGAATTAGCTCGAGAGTAACAAAGCTCTGGGCCTGTGTCACTCGCCTGGATATTTAAGCAGTCATAGTAAAATTATTCTCATTAAATATTATACTGTACTGCAAATACTTCAATCGCAAACTTTGTTGTCGCTACTTTTGAATCGATGTGTTTTAATTCTTCAGAACAAATCCTTTGAAGAAATGTTGACCTCTGTGACCTTTAAAGTAGGTTGAGGTCACTTTGATGAGCTCTATCCCAAGAAGCCACCAGGCAAATATTATGATTCTATGCCTTTCGATTATTCGGAAGTTTTTGACATATTGGACCCCCGTGACCTAGATAGAAGGTCAAGATCATTTTCACTCGTAGACTAATGTCGGGCTCTTACGAATGAAGCTTTCAGCCAAATATGACTCTAGGCCTGTCCATTATTTAGAGGTCATTTGATGTGTTTGCCATATTTGACCCATATGACCTTGAAAGTAGGTCATAATCATTTTCATTCTCAAAATTTGCTGGCTCTGCAAAAAGAAGCTATCCACCAAATATGAAGATTCTAAACCTTTCAGTTCTTTAGAAGTCGTTTGAAGCATTCGACATATCCGACTCCTGTGACCTTGAAAGTAGGTCAAGGTCATTTTCATTCGCAAAATTTGCTGGCTCTGCAAAAAGAAGCTATCCACCAAATATGAAGATTCCATACCTTTCAGTTCTTCAGGAGAAGTCGTTTGAAGCATTTGACATATTTGACCCCCATGACCTTGAAAGTATGTTGAGGTCATTTTCATTTTTAAACTTTGTCTTGCTCTTTCCCAGGTAGCAACCAGCCAAATATTCTTCAGAAGTCGTTTGAAGTGTTCGACATATTTGACCCCTGTGACCTTGAAAGAAGGTCAAGATCATTTTTATTCTCAAACTTTGTTGGGCTCTATCAACAAAGCTTTCAACCAAATATCATGACTCTTAGGCCTGTCCATTCTTCAGAAGAAGTTTTTTAAAGGAAAAGTTGACGCCGCACCATGACATAAGCTCACTTGCCCTTTGAGCAGGTTCAGCTAAAATTTGTCTTAGATCTTGCACAGAACATTTCCATTAAATTTCTGTACAAAATGGTGGCCATATGGAACTTTTAGAAAAAGCTCCAAAGTAATAATTTTGATGGAAAAGTTCACAGATTATCTCATATTCCAGCAAAAATCGGTTCCGTAGAATTATAGTTCTAATTAATAGATATTGAAAATGGTCGACATAGTTAACAATTTAATTTAAATCGGCTTCAAACGGACAAAAAGTTGTCTGGATCATGCATTTTGGCAAACTCAAGTTTAGTAGAATAAGTTAAAATTCAAAACCTAGATTTTCAAGACGGCCATGTTCTATTTCCAATAAATTGTAGTGAAATCTGTTCTGTAAAATTGGAGATGAATGTTCAGATTTTAAAATTGCTGCCATATTAGTCTTGGATCCACTTAATAACTGGTCTTTGTCCTTCATCAATCATTTCCAATAAACTTGTGTTAAAAGTTCTAGACTATTTCGAATCAATTTCAGCAAAATCATTCAGTTAGATTTTGGTGTTCAAAATAGAAGGCTACCATATTGACCTTAATGGATTTCGAATTTGCTCCAAAAGAATGACTAGGGACCCGAAGGACCAGAACTGCTCCTATGGTATTTAGTGTTGTGACCATCTTTAATATCGGAACATATTTGACTCCAGTGACCTTCAAAAGAAGATGAAGGTAATTAGAACAATTTGGCAGCCCTTCGCTACATCATCATTCCTCCGAATAATCAAGGGACATTTATTTCATAATAGCCAAAAGCATGCAGGAATAAACAGCTATCAACATTTTCCCCCAGTTGAACCAAGAGGATTATGGTTGTAATTGGCCTAAAGTAATCTTAATAGGTCTATTAAACTTTCCCCACTGAATGACCTTGACCCCTTTTCAAAACCATGGGTCAAATGTGTTAAAACCTGTACAACCTATTGCCAGTAACAGTAGGCATAGGGTCATGCGAAGGGCTATCAAGCTTGGTTCCATCAATGACCTTGACCCACTTTCAAGGTCACAGGGGTCAAATAATTAAAACTTTCAACTGACATCTGAACAAACAAGAGGCTATAGGGTGATGCTATTTGGCCATTCACAAGCTGGGATGATTGCATGGCTACCAAATAAGGTCAAATGTACTGCCATGACCCACTTTGAAAGTTCAAGGCCAGGGGTCAACACTTGTGTGTAAAAACTTTTAATAAATTTCTTCTGAATAATAAAGAGGCATTGGATCATGATATTTGGCATATGTAGCTTAATAGCATAAAATGTGGAATCTGAATGAATGACCTAAACTTGCTTTGAAGGTCAGTAAAATAAGTCAAAGTCTTCCAATGAAGGCCTAACACCGGACAATTAGACAATGTTCAAATTTAGACATAAGTCTGGTTGTTTCAACAATCCAAGGGCTAAAAAAACATTTTTGTGAGAGAACCATTTTCTTGATGAGTATGTACAAACTTCAAGTAAAAGTGTGTAAATCATAAGGAAGACTTAGAATATTTATTTTGTGTTGACCATTTCAACAGTAAAAATTTAATAATTTTATTCTGTGATTATTTGGTTAACAGTGAAAACATTATATTATATCAAAACAACAGTGAATAAACTCTATTGGTAGGTTAGAGTAACAAGGTATACATGTATATATATCTATAACTAGCATGCCCTCGAGGCTTCATTATATCATGAAGGTAATCGGACGATTTCTATATTTTACTATGAAAAAACAAGGTCACAGTCATCATACGTCCATGAAACAGATATTTCTGTATTTGAAATGGGCAATCCCACGATTTTTATTTGAAATGTTGATATTTCAAACAGATGTTGCTCTTCTCAATTTGTTTACTTACTAATACAGAGTTATCTCTTGTTTCAAATACAGGTATACCTAATTATATTGGACATATACATGTACAGTATATACATTTAATTAAAATATAGATATATTGGCAGCTCATCCTGACCTTCAGTGGCTGGATGAGGGTTTGATTATCACCATATCGACCTGTTCAGAGTGTTTACACTGATCAATAACTTGATCTATATTTCATTGCTAAACTTGTAAATATAAGAATTTATCCTTGTAAATATAAGAATTTATCCATTTATCATGAAATGTTACAATAAGCACATGAATGAAAGAACAAACTCATTTTCATTTCGGTTACACTTGTAGAAAATTCTAATCCTGAGGACAATTACACATCTCAATAACAATGTGTTAAGAACCACATTAAAGACATTTTACATACTTCGAGAAATTTTAATAAATGTAAAAAAACTTGAGAAGTTGAAAAACGATTTTTTCAATGTGTCTGATGACCTTAAAAATACAGAATGGATTAAGAACACAATGTATATATATAGTATTGCTAGCAAGTTCCTTTTAATAGCACAAGTGTTAAAATTGGCCAACAACAACAAGATACCAGTAAATAAAGATTCATATGATCACAGTTTACATGTTCAGAAAACTAGTAATATTTTGTCACTTCAAAATAAATCTGATAAATTTGATGAGAGATTCATAAAATCTATAATATTTAAACACTTACAAGATCTATTATTTCTGCAGCTAACAATGTGTAATGTGATACTTCATCTTACAAAACGTTTAAATAACACCTCGATACAAAAGTAAAAGAGACAGTTTACACAAAGTATTTACAACTCCATTATAATATCATTGAACAAGGATAAAAGAATATATATATATATGTAAAGTCAGAATTGCTCCTTTCCGGTGTAAACATTACTAAAGCACTATGACACGCTATCATTTATCCTATGAACTACATGTGTTATATCACAGATAAATGCATGATGCATTCAATGTTTATACACTATAGCGTGTTACCACCTTCAAAGAGTTTTCATTGGTTACAAATGACCCCAGAGTGTTTTCATTTGTCAACTATACACAAACTAAGGCCAAAGGTTAATTGAATGCAGCTCACAGATAAAATGTTCTAAGCAAAACTGATTTCCGGACTTGTCTTGGTTGGTCGTCGTATTTGCTTGGCCTAAATTAAATTAAGGCAAAGAATAGCTTATTTTCAAAAAGTTTAAAAGACATTTCATAAACCTTGGAACTTAAATTTCGAAAAAAATTGATCGAAACCTGAGTGAGATGCATACAGTTATCTATTGTCCTTATTGAACCTCCATGCATACCATGTGGTTAATTATCAGAAACTTACCGTATCAAACGACAATGAATATTCATGTACAATTCTGAAGGATTTTAATACAAATTTTGCTCACTTCACTTTAATTGTCAATTTATACTTTCTGATTTTCAAAACAACAAAAATTTAAAAAGTCATTCCATGAAGGTTGCACTATTATAACATTCTTAATTGCATATTGAACTTGTAGTAAGACATTTCCTCTGTGGTAATCAATTACTGGTATATTATTACAGCAAATTTCAAAATACAACTGCATTTGGAAAATGGTGACTCATTTCATCCTTAAGTACGATAATAAACATTAGCACTAACGTTGAATGATCGAATAAATCAAATGCTGAGAAGGCCAATGGACGGACAAGACTTGAAGAATGATAGGAAACAAAACAGATCCATGATATATCACAGAGGTATACATATACATAGTATGTTTACTTTGTTATAATTTTCTAAGACTCAACACATGATGACAATTGAATGTTTCATATATTATACAATTGAATATCTAAAATTCTATTTAGGCAAGCTTTAGGAATGTATAAGTTATCGATCAATAAGCATAATGTATGCATGTTGACGTGTTGAACCAAGCAGGTTTTTGAAGGTAAAGAGAAGCAGCAGACACAAGGAAAAGGTGACTGGTCGATTCTCTGCACCCCTGGTATATGTCCTGACAAAATTGAACGCTCAGAGTGTGCCACCTTTGTAGGTGAGAAAAGAAGACTAGTAGTTTGATCCTTAAATGTATATCAAAAGGATCTCGTGGTCGAATAACAGTAAAATTGACTGGCTTTGAAGTAGGGTGGCGCTCCTCTGTAATCTTCAAAGGTATCAAGTTAGCGATTGGTCAGGTTTTTTCACCCGACACCAATCAAATGGCCAGCTGTGTGCCTTTAATTTTGCTATGACATATTGCAGGGCGCCAGAGAACATTAGTGAGCCTAACCCATTGAGGATGGGGTTTTCTGGCATGGGTGAGTATGGAGTTAACCAAGGTGAGTAAGGGCTGACGAGGGAATAACTCATGATCTATCCTGTCTTTTTCTACTCAATTTTCCACCCAAGTGTTATAATCTTGCAGTTTTCAAATACTCTGGCTTAAACAACATCAGAAATTTAGTCATGCACATTTACTTTCTCCCAGAAACTGATGTTGCTGAGTAAAACAACCATTCCTTATGAGACCAACTTGTTGCCTATTGTGTTTTTTTGTTGATGACTTCATAAAAGGCGACACGATAAACTGAACACAAACAATACAACGGAACACAGAACTGTATATGATGTAACCCGTCTTGTCTTAACACTTTGGCCCCCCTCCCCTACCACCAACAACCCCTTCCACAGCACTGCTAGGAAAGACTTAAGTCTGACAACTTGTCAGCTCAATATGATGCAAAATGCAAGCTCTTTTACACTCTTTTTACATTCATGATTTCTGTTGTATTTTGGAACCTCCACCAAAACACAGCACAGCCACAGTCATATATACTAGTAAATTTTCATTAAGTATTAACATATATGCTATTATAGTTTTAAACAAACAATTCATTTTTAAAAATGTCATTTGTCCTGGTTTTCATTCACTCCTCACTCGTCCATACACCTGAAGCATCCTCCATTCTTCCTTCAATCATCATCATCCAGACACTGAAGCTGTTTGTCTATCAACTTTTGACGGATTTCATTGGCTCGTAGCCTCTCTTGAAGTTCTTGCATGCTGCAAACATGAAATAAGAAAATGGAACTTAATTAAAATTTTACATGGTAAACACACTAGTTTCATGCTTATAACAAATGTATCTCAATGAAATGGAACATTATACATTAGTCAAATCTTTTAAAGATGTAAATTAGCTTTTAATTTAAGCTGTAAAGAAACTATTGAAATACCTGGTTCAATTATCATTTTTTTTTTAAATCCTTCTATCTGAACATACAGGTACACATATTTCATGTTATAGTCAGAGAATGACAAATATAGAAGAATTGCTGGAACACGGACTTTGAACCGTGACCTCTCACATCTAGTTCAAGTTAAGTCTTGCATCTGTCCTTCCACATCAGTAGTAACCTTGGAATTTATACAGGCCAAGTTAGATCATCAACTAAAGTGACTCTGGTCTAACTTAGGGCCTGTTTGTTTATGCGGAACAACTGGTATGTCAGTTTTTAAAAGTAACTTTTTCAGGTATAAATCCTGGCGGATCTGAAAAAATTTATGCAGGCCTTGCAAGGCTTTGTCAAGGCTCGCCAGAAGGCAGCATTAGGTTACTAGGTCCGACCTTATTTTATAAACGAACAACTTTGGTCCGACCAGTTCAACCGTTTGGATCGCGATAAACAAAAACGGCCCCACTCGAATACAGCCAACCTCACTTTGGTGTGTCATACACATGTGTACTTAAAAGCTGTGGTGTGTGCATGTCAAAATGACAACAGTTCAACCTATGATTGGTTTCCTCCCACACTTAGACCCCCCAAGCGCTAACATCCGGGCCAATAAGAGTGTTTAATATAAGTTGAAATAACTTGTTTCATAATTGTTGTAAAATAAATAAAGTTTATATTAGATCATGTTGGGTCAGTATATATGCAACCTTTGACCTACCATTGTTCTGGTTCCATCTGACCTTGAGCACGGTCATTGAAATACTGGTCACCATACTCTGTATCCATAATGAGCTGGTCATCTGCAGGACTCTGACCATACATCATCATGGCTGTAGTGGGCTCTACAACAGCGAGGTAGGTAATGAATGGTCAAAGATCACCTGACACTACCCGGTAATCTAGTCTCCAACAGGCGATTGTTAAGATTCGGGTATAATTCATCACGATATTATTTTTAATCATAATTCATTCTATCATTCAGAACTGTGGAAAATCTATATTTTTGAGTCTTTTTACCTTAATTAGCATCTAGGACACTTGAACTAGTACTATATTTTGGAACCACAGAGAGTCAGAACGGAGGGTATATTCATCTCGCTTATATCATTTCAATAAGTTCCCAGAAAAGGAAAAGGGCTCTTATAAGGGCAGGGGGGCTATTTACAGCAAGTATGATACATAGATATGCAATACTTTTTATCCATCATCAAAGTTTATTGATCATGTACCAGAATTCACCAAAATGTCATTGTCTTAAAAGAATATCCCAAACAATGTTCGATAAAAGCAAACATGGACAGAACAATCACATCTGTTTTGGGATACCATGTATAATAAATTATCAAATTTGTATACATATCAACATCCTTCAAAAAAGCATCAACATACCCTTCTCAAATTCTCCAGGAAATTGATCTGATTGCCTCCCTTTCCTCATAGGTGGTGCTTGTGTTTGACTACTCGGAACAGGTTGACCTTGTGGGAATCTCTGATGCATGTTATTTGACCTCTGACCTTGGTTGTATGGAAGTTGATGAATACTGTTAGAATCGTTATAGTTTAACTTTCTTACAGGTCCATGCCCATTGCTATTAGATGCAACATCAGTTTTAGTATGTTGGTTTTGATTGGTTATAGTCACTTTTTCCATACGATTTGACCTTGGTGGATCTTCAAGGTCAGACATAACTTGATCTTGTTGAGGGATATCCAACTCTTCTGAATTTCCACCATCAGAGTGCTTTGGTTTGGTTTGATCAGACGAGCGAGGAAAAACATTCAACTGATTTGGATCATCTGATTCAGAATCTAACTTCCCTGAAAAGCTTGACATCATCACAGAGCTTTGAAAGACAGAACTAGCCCTATCACCTTGGAAACTCTCTATTGATCTTGCTGCAGCCAGCGACCTTTCCATCCCAGAGATTCTGGCTTGTAATCGAGCAATCTCAGCATCCTATGGGGAAAATGAAACTACAATATTACTTGTATTATCTGTTTTCAGGGCAGCACTTATTACATGTTATTTAAGTAAAGCTACTTTGTATAGCCAGGAAAAAAAAAGAATTATTCTATGCACAAACTGCTGAGATTTATTGCCAGAGCAAAGTAACTGTACTGTGAAATTTTGAACATGGCATTAAAAAAGCCCACTCGGCCTGTATTACTCATCTGCTTCTATTTTTTATGAACAATAATATGAAAGTTTCTGCTAGTCGCGAGACCACAGTGGCCTGGTGAGCTACATTTTAATGGAAACCATATATCTACCTTAATAATAAGAGACTCATTTGCAGCATTGACAATTTTTTTCTTGGCGGCCATCTCCTGGTTGATGACAATGAGATCCTCTTGAAGCTTCTCAAACTGCTGTTGGTAGTGAGCCTCTAGGTCCTGCAGCTGTGTCGCCTTCTCCTCAAGTTCTACGACCAGTTGCTTTTTGTCCGAGGATACATCTTTCGCTTTTTCTTTCATCACATGTATCTGTTCGAGTTTGATAGTAAAATTGTGGATAAAATGTGTGTAAGGAAATAACAGCATGCCATATGTTGCAGATAAAGTGCATATAGTATAGTAGTAGAATACTTGTATGTAGTATAGTAGCAGATTTATTGTATGTAGTATAGTAGCAGAATAATTGTATGTAGTATAGTAGTAGAATAATTGTTTGTAGTATAGTAGCAAAATAATTGTATGTGGTATAGTAGCAGAATAATTGTATGTAGTATAGTAGCAGAATAATTGTATGTACATGTAGTATAGTAGTAGAATAATTGTATGAAGTATAGTAGCAGGATAATTGTATGTAGTATAGTAGCAGAATAATTGTATGTGGTATAGTAGCAGAATAATTGTATGTGGTATAGTAGCAGAATAATTGTATGTAGTATAGTAGTAGAATAATTGTTTGTAGTATAGTAGCAAAATAATTGTATGTGGTATAGTAGCAGAATAATTGTATGTAGTATAGTAGTAGAATAATTGTATGTAGTATAGTAGCAGAATAATTGTAAGTAGTATAGTAGTAGAATAATTGTATGTAGTATAGTAGCAGAATACTTGTATGTAGTAGTAGCAGGATAATTGTATTTAGTATAGTAGCAGAATAATTGTATGTGGTATAGTAGCAGAATAATTGTATGTAGTATAGTAGTAGAATAATTGTATGTAGTAGAGTAGCAGAATAATTGTATGTAGTATAGTAGTAGAATAGTTGTATGTAGTATAGTAGCAGATTTATTGTATTTAGTATAGTAGCAGAATACTTGTATGTAGTATAGTAGCAGGATAATTGTATGTAGTATAGTAGTAGAATAATTGTATGTAGTATAGTAGTAGAATTATTGCATGTATTATATAGTAGTAGAATAATTGTATGTAGTATAGTAGGAGAATAATTGTATGTGGTATAGTAGCAGAATAATTGTAAGTAGTATAGTAGTAGAATAATTGTATGTAGTAAAGTAGTAGAATAATTGTATGTGGTATAGTAGCAGAATAATTGTATGTAGTATAGTAGTAGAATTATTGTATGTATTATATAGTAGTAGAATAATTGTATGTAGTATAGTAGGAGAATAATTGTATGTGGTATAGTAGCAGAATAATTGTATGTGGTATAGTAGCAGAATAATTGTAAGTAGTATAGTAGCAGAATAATTGTATGTAGTATAGTAGCAGTATTATTATATCCAGTATGTGTGATTGTCAGTACATTGTGGATCAAAACAGTACACAGACCACAAAAACATCAAAATCAAAATCATGTTCTGAGATAATTTTGTATGTTGAAAGTAACCTTTAAAGTCACTACATAGTGTTTACCAGGAAACGCTCACCATAATTTAACTTTCTTAGCGAGGGCAAATTCATCATGCACCCAATATTAATGACAGCATACCAGGGGCCTGTTCTTTCTTGGAGACCAAACAGTTCCTCTATTTTTGAAATGTATGATTTCAGGGATAAAACCTGATGGTTTTAGAAATGTTTATGCAGGTCTTGAAAGTCTTTGCCAAGGCTCGGCCCAAAATAACATGAAATCACTAGGTCCACTGCTATTTCATATACAAACAATTCTGATGCAACTAGTCCAGTGTTCTCCCCAGGCTGTTTTTGCAGCATGGCACCATGCTCCTAAAATGTCTTGCCATGCTGTTATCCTAGATCTTCTCTGCTATATATTCATAGTAAATCTAAAGTTACCATGCTGCTTTGATTTTACACAGAGTGCTGCTTTAACAGAAATATTGAAATACCATGCTTCTTTCTAAGCATTCTGGGGAGAACACTGTAGTCCAACTATAATTGGAATGTAATAAACAAAAGTGGCACAGGATAATATTCATAGTGTTTTCCCTATGAAGGGTGGAATTAAATCTTGGGTGAAATTACTCTCTACGGTATATGGATAGCAAATTTTCCCCATGGAGGGCAAGATATTATCTTGGCAATTTACACTATATATGAATAACTAAACATTCAGACTTTTTCTGATCTAACTTGCATGACAATCTCTTTTTTTCCTGATTGATGATACATTTAGATTATTGATGGGACTTGTACATATCGATGGGACTTGTACACAGCAACAAATTAAAGCAGCTAGGGATGACACAGTGATATGCATAGCTTAGTTACAACTTTATCCGTTATTATCAGGTATTATCATTAAGAGTTGCATTTCTTTACAAACATGTATAATTACCTGCTCTTCATATGTTTCTGTAGTCTGTGCTAGCTCCTCCCTCAGATTGATGACCTCCGACGTGACCCTAGCCTCTGCCTTAGCCTCGCGTGCCTTGCTGGCCCCGAGCTCTTCTGCCAGACGTGCTGTATTGTTTTCCTTGCTCTGTAACAGAGTGCTATATAAGACTTTGTACAAATATACATTCCAAACACATCTAAGGTGTAACTTGATTTGGAACTTTCTAGAAGTATATCAAAGGCCATTAGGGAACAAGACAGATTGTATTTGCTGTATCTACTCAACTACTCAGTTCAAACAAGGATATAGGGTACTATTTTAGAATAAATCTACACAATTTGAGAAATTTTACCAAGCCTTCTGAATTTATTTTTCAATATTCAAAACTATGAATTTGTGTGATTCGATACAAGGTAAGCGAAAGACAGAACTTTTCATATTATATATTATAAACATCAGGTACATACAATTGTTTTCCTTTAAATCTAATTGTTATATATATGGTATATATCATATTATAACCATCAATAGAATATCCGGAATTAACCGTTTTTGTGTATTATGGTATTCCGTCTCCGTATCTTGTTTCTATGTTTTGTTGATTGACCTCCTGTTTCCGGGAATAAAATGAGAAGTTGAAGAGTGAAGTTGTTTCGATTCATCTCTTGATAATCCTCTCACATCACAAACCCAGTTAATAATTATAGCGTCAATATATGACTAACACTATATTGACCTGTGTATGTACCCAATGTAAGGCACTTATATGCATAACAGGGATGTAACTCTACCAGGTAAAATAAACATCTGGCATATGATGTTAAAACTTCACAAATATGCAAACTCAGTTTCAGAATAAAAGTGCAAAAATTTCTGTCATTACAAAAAAATCCTACTATCCATTTTCATCTCTTATAAGATTACTCAACTCATTCACCCCTACATATTGAAACTGGGCTTGCTCAGTCTTTGATTTGGTAAGGTTCAAATGTGACTTTAGGGGTGAATATGTTAAGATTCCAAAGCTGTGAACAAAGGCTTAGGGAAATAGACATTTGACAAAATAAGAAAATTTGAAAAGCTGTTACAGTTGATCAAACACTGTACTACTCCATAAACGAGAACAGGAAAAAGAAAGGTTGACAAACAGACCTGATGCTGAGCCATTTCCTCCTCCAATTCTCGAGTTAAACGTTCATTTTCTCTTGATGTCTGCGACAACTGTCTCCGTGTTGACAAAAACTCAGCATGCTGCTGCTGAAGCTGCTCTCTGCGATAAAAACCAAGAATACAAGTCATTGATTGTACGAAGGTGAAGATGCTATTTAATCAATCAAAACTAGAACACTTGAACAAATGAACAATAAAATAGCCAGAAAAGGCAGATCTCGTTTATTAGAAATGTGACAGATCATGTTTCACACAAAGTGTTGTAATTTCAGTGAGGAAAGGTCCAACATGTTTTATCAGCAGTTTAAAGGACTCCCTAAGACATACTTCATTCATGACTTATACCTACTTGCTATGTTATGACTTATACCTACTTGCTATGTTATGACTTATGCCTACCTGCTATGTTATGACTTATGCCTACCTGCTGTGTTATGACTTATACCTACCTGTTGTGTTATGACTTATGCCTACCTGCTATGTTATGACTTATGCCTAGCTGCTATGTTATGACTTATACCTACTTGTTTTGTTATGACTTATACCTACCCACTGTGTTATGACTTATACCTTCTTGTTGTGTTATGACTTATACCTTCTTGTTGTGTTATGACTTATTCCTAGCTGTTGTGTTATGACTTATACCTTCCTGCTGTGTTATGACTTATACCTACTTGTTGTGTTATGACTTATGCCTATCTGTTGTGTTATGACTTATACCTACTTGCTGTGTTATGACTTATACCTACCTGCTGTGTTATGACTTATACCTACCTGCTGTGTTATGACTTATACCTACCTGCTGTGTTTACCTGTTGGACAACCTGTTGGACATACCTGGTAAGTCTGAGCTCTTGTGTGATTTCCACATTCTCCTCTTTCTGTTCCTCCAATCGCAGCTTCTGTCGCTCCACTGTCTGTACATAGGAAAGGAAAACACCACTTTTTATGTCATAGGCATTAGCATCAGCTTACAATGGGGACGGTTATTTTACAAAGTATTTTTGTTTTATAGCACTAGATGGTATAGATGGCTTTTGACACAAAAATGGTTTATCACTAGTAGATCATCAATGCTCAATAGCCTCACCCAAAGATTACTTCAGAATTAAAACAATTCAACAATTGAGAGCGTACAAAGCCTTACTCCCATTGAGCAGTTCAGTTTGCAGGTAACGTGATGTGATATACATTACATTTATGAAGTTTCAAGTGACCTTGACAATGGCCAAGTAGACCTGTGTGGTATCAGAGGTCTAAACCAACTATATTAGCCACTAGGAAAGTACTGCAAGTGCTTGAAAATTCCACTTCATAACCAAAAACTCAGTAACAAAAGTATTTTTGGTCATTAGGAGACACATATACTATTCATGAGACACATATATACTGTTTATGAGACAAGTATGAGTACAGTACAGGTACAAGGCTGAGCATACCTTCTGCAGCTCTTCCAGTGTGTTGGTTTTAGATTGCAGTTCCATGAATTGTCGCTGGGACAGCTGGTCGGCCTGCTGGAACTGTAGTGCCTTCTCCTTTAGGTTGGTCTGGGTCAACTGTAATCTGTCATCGAGGTCAGAAATCTAACCCCGAAAAAGTAACAATAATCGTGATTTAGAAATTCAGTTGAAAACACGAACAGTACCATTTGCTATCGACAGAATCATGATTCTAACATATACATCTTTACTAGTGAGTAACATATCAATTAAACAAACAGAAACCCATAAGAAAACTGCAGTTTAGATAGAGATAAACCATCAAAAATACCAACATGTGAAAAAGGTAGAGCGACGTCCAGACAAAAAGAAAGTTGTAGGTAAACAACAGGGTAACTACAGTAAAATTTCCTGTTTAGTGGTGAAAAAGTTATGTTTCTTTTGACTAGCAGTTGTTTCCACACCTGTATAAATGCATGGTAGCAAGTACCTGTATGGTGCGTTCCTTGATCTCACTCTCGTACTTGATGAGCTGGCTGTCCAGCCGCTGTATCCGCTGTTCCATCTCGCTGTGGAGCTCCTTGATGTTCTGGTTCAGCTGTGTTACCTGTAGAATTAACAGTGATATCAACTTCATCATAAACCCTTTCACCCTATGTAACTTTAGTAGACTCTACCATGCACTGATGTGTCGATTATGGTCTACAGTGGTGAAAGGGTTAAGAGGGTTAGAGATTATGTACAAATACAGTTTCTCAAACTCATAGCCTTATATTACTGTTGTAGCCCCCACTTACTTACTTGCTGTAGCACTCACTAACCTGCTGTATGCGGTGTTGCAGCTCAGCTTGGCGGTCCTGAAGGGCATGGCTCAACTCCCCTACTTCTCGTTTGCGATCGTTAAGTTCCTCCTGTGTTTTCCTGTGGGCCTCCTTCATATCCTCCATCATCTCCTGCTTGGCTTTGAGTTCGTACAAAGTTTTCTGTAACTGTGCCTCGGCATCAGAGGCACGGATCTGGTCCTGCTCTGAGGAAACCTGTATAGAACAGCAAGTCTCGTCTTAGATTGAGTCTTCAATCAGGCAAATGTGACAGTCTCTCTGGATCTTTAATATCACATCAGGCAGATGGGAAGGTCTTCCATTAAACTTACTCTGTAGTAGTTATATTTACTGTGTAGTAGTTATATATACTGCTTACAGGTTATATTTACTGTGTAGTAGTTATATATAGGTTATATTTACTGTGTAGTAGTTATATATACTGCTTACAAGTTATATTTTGCAGTTAATTTATTTTTATGTTTAATATAGTTATAACACATTCATTCACTTATTTACAAAGAACAATAAAGCTAAGAGTAGAATTTTATATTGTGAAATAAAATGACCACAAAAGTTTGCCATGATATGTACAACACTGTAAAATAAAAAAATAAATGAGCCTGAACCTATGCTGATCATAATTATAGAACTTCAGTTTCTACAAACCTGCCACTATGTAACTTGTTACAGCCTGATTGGACAGAAAAGTTCTCCCACATTACCTGTAGTCGCTTGATTTCAGCATCAAGTTCACCCACCAGTTGCATCTGTTGTTGTATGTCTTCCTCTCTCTGTTGTATCTGGTCCTCAAAATCGTTAACTGTTGTAGAATGAGAGATGAAAAGAAAAAAATTACTTGTCGAAAGAATTTTCAAAAACATTTCAAGAAATGTTGGAAAGGTTATCAATAGTTAAAAGACTTAAATCAATTACAATTTTTTACATTTATCCTAAAATTTCTTTCCATTTTTTTTGCTGTATTATATAAATTATTTTTGATTATAATAAAAATAATTTGAGGTTCTTATATACCGCTTTATCACAACGTAGTTCGTAGGTCGTCTCAAAGCGGTTCACAAATTACTATCCGTGGTTATAGGGCCTTTGCAACCAGCCAATATCTTTCTCAGCTCCCTGGGGAGCATATAACCGGTGCTGCTATTTCGGTGCTCACAGCTAGCATTCTACGATTCTAGCACTGCCCAACCACATACTTATTTACAGCTGACTAGACTTGAACAAGCGGAGTAAAGTATCTTGGTCAAAGATACAACACAGTGCCGTGACTCAAACCCGCAACCCTTCAGTCACGAGTGCGGCGTGCTACCACTAGATTACCGTGCCTTCCATTCACATATGCCAAAACAAATGACTACAGCTTTAACAGAAGAAAGGAGAAGACTTACTTATTTCTATTTTCTTCTCTAACTCCACCCTGAGATCCCGGACGTCCTTCTCCAGTTTAGTCACACGGTAAGTCTTGCTGTCACTGCTGGTTTGTTCGTCCTGAATCTGGTTCTCCAACGTGCGTATGTCAGTATTGAGGTGTAGTTTTTCCTCCTCATACCCTCTGAAATCAATGTTGATAAATTAGCATTCTCATCTCTCTGGATAAAAAAAAACACACAAAAAATACAGAAAAATTAAATGTAAATTATGTGTATTTGTATATAAAGTTACCTATGTTTTACATACACCTCTCATTAGAATATTCAGTGACTCGTTACCTCAAACTTTAATGGACAAAAAAGCAATACTAGTGCAGTACTTATTTGAAGATTTGAACACAATTAACCCCGATGACTTTGAATATGAACAAGAATGATAACCCTTCGTCTCAGTAAGCATCAGGTCAAATAGCATGACTGTAATTAAGCTTCATGGTTCACTCAAGGTCATTTGAAAGTTTCAGGAGATCTGACTCCTTTGAGCATAGGTCAAGGTCATTTATTTGAACAAATTTGATAGTGTAGTAGTTCATTAATCCAGCAATTAGCTGCAGGTCAAATATCATTACTCTAGGTCTCATGGTGACTAGAAAAGGATATTAAAAGCTGTTTTCACTTTTGACTTCTGTAAATATGTCAAAGTTATTAATTTCACCAGATGTGATTGCTCTTCACCTGAGCAAGATACAAGGCATATATATCATGACTCTAGGCCTAACTGTTCTTAAAAATTGTATTAAAAAAAGAATTGAAGCTGAATGGCAGTAGGTAATGCTATAGAAGAAACTCTCAGAAATTGAGAGATCGGCTAAATTCATCCCAAGAAACACTTGTGTTAATTCATCCCAAGAAACACTTGTGTTAGATTCCCTTCAACTACTGTATTTGATCAAACCTTACTTGATAGTTTGTTGTAGCTGAGTGATCTCCCCTGTTTGTTCCTCGATTCGCTTACAAGTCTGTGTAAGTTTTTTCTCCAGCGATTGTGTTTCTGTCATGTAGCGGGCTTTGTCCTCTAACATCTGATGTTCTATCTGGGAAATCTGAAACACATTCAGTGGCGTCAATTACAAACAACTCCTTCTAAATTCTTCACACCTGGAAAGTTATATCAGTCTATCAATTCAACAGGTGACATGTAAAAATGTTAACCCGAAGGTGAGAGGACAAACAAGTATATTTGTAGATGATAAGGCATACCTGTACATAGGTTTACTTGTAAATGAGAGGGCATGGAAGTAGATCTGTGATGGAGCAATCTGATGTAACGGTAGGTCAGAGATCATGCAATTCAGTCTATCTGTAGATATCAGGGTATGGGTGTCTGCTGAGTTTAATCTGTAGATATAAGGGTATACCTGTCTGTTGAGTTCTATATTTAGATATCAGGGTATATGTGTCTGTTAAGTTTTATCTGTAGATATAAGGGAATACCTGTCTGTTGAGTTCTATATTTAGATATCAGGGTATATGTGTCTGTTGAGTTCTATATTTAGATATAAGGGTATATTCAGATATAAGTGTCTGTTGAGTTTTATCTGTAGATATAAGGGTATACCTGTCTGTTGAGTTCTATATTTAGATATCAGGGTATATGTGTATGTTGAGTTCTATATTAAGATATAAGTGTATACCTGTCTGTCGAGTTCTATCTGTGTGTCCTCTACCTGTCTGTTGAGTTTTATATTTAGATATAAGGGTATACCTGTCTGTTGAGTTCTATGATATAAGGGTATACCTGCCTGTTGAGTTCTATATTAAGATGTAAGGGTATACCTGTCTGTTGAGTTCTATGATATAACGGTATACCTGTCTATTGAGTTCTATATTTAGATATCAGGGTATATGTGTCTGTTGAGTTCTATATTTATATATAGGGGTATACCTGTCTGTTGAGTTCTATGATATAAAGGTATACATGCCTGTTGAGTTCTATATTTAGATATAAGGGTATACCTGTCTGTTGAGCTCGATCTGTGTGTCCTCTAGGTCTGACATCCTCGTGGTACTCTGCTGTAACATGGTCTGGTGCTCAAACAGTGTCTTCTCTAGATCTGTGTTTTGTCTCAGCTTCACCTCCAAGTCTCTGTGTGTCTGTCTCAACTTCTGATCTAACTCAACTATCTGTTCACAAAAAGCAAGACAAAATTTTCATCAGTAAAGAGAATTTCTTGAATAATATGATTTTATTCTTGTTCTTAAATATAGCAAAATTTCATATCTTCAATCCCCACTGATGGTTACAATAATACACTAGACAATAGTGAAAGTGTATGACAAAGGTTACACATGGTATATCTGTATGTGTGACCTCCACAATGTTATTCCTTATATTACAGTGTCCTTTTTAGAAGTCATCTATTCCCAAGTGATGGCTTTGCAAGCTGTTTTTTCTAGACAGCTAATATAGATGCATGGTATACAAAAACATTAACATTAGTACGACAATAAAATCATACACAATTTTCTTTAATAATGATGCATTCGGTAATAAAATGATTTCCTTCCTCTCAACTTCACAATAGGAATTTTGCTAACTTTTAAAACCAAACATTTATTTGAACCTGGACAATAAGAAATTCTACCTTTTCATCCTTGTACTGGAGCTCTTTGTCAAAACGTTCCTTGGAATCCTCCAGGGCCTCAATGTATGTTTTTACTTCTTCCTTACACATCAGAAGTGCAGACTCAAGATCTCTGATCTGACTTGTCCCCTCATTTGCCTGTAGCTCTAATTGCTGCAGCGTTCGCTGGCTCTGTCTCGTCTTCGCATCAAGTTCCTGTGGCGGAAAAACAGGTGAATTTTCATTTTGGTTCAAACTTCATTGGCAGTTATAAATATGCATTCCCTAATATTATCTTGTGAAACAGAACTATCAAACTGTCGGGATTCCCTGTTTTTGTTGCCTCACCTGTCGGTTCTGTCTGAGGAGTTCCTCCACCTGCTGTATGTGTTGTGTTTTCTCCTTCGTCTCCCGCCTCAGCAACCCTAACTGTGACTCTAGCTCCTCAAGGCGATTTGTCTTCTTCTCCAGCTTCTGGGTCAGCTATCATCATCAAGGTCAATATTTATTAATTAACATTTTGAAAGTAACACTTTATTTGATAAATAAGTATTACCTATCAGTCTAAAACTCAGTGCAGTTTTGATACGTGAATAGATACAGTAGAACCATGTCATAGACCAATACAAATATTAAATCCAGATACGTGTATATAGCGAAGAACTTTGTAAAGGAACTTTACAAATCTAGAGACAAATGTTTTTACAGTAGAACCTTGTTTTTGGACTATCAAAATCTTTAGTTTAAAAACATGTATATTTATATGCAATAGAAACTTGTTGTTGAACCATATAAATCTCTAGTCTTGATACTTGTATACAAACTAATTAAAATATATCATGGGACAATACAAACATGTACTGTAGTCTTGATACGTATTTCTGCTATTTTGTATGTTTTGTATCAATGGGGGGAATTCAGGAATTATTTTCATTGCATGCATCACAAACTGATCTAGGTGAACAAATATTGTTGAAAGTTTGAACAGAAAATTCAAAATAGAGAAAAACACCTGTGACCACCTTTGCTACAAATTTGTGTCATTGGATTGCCTCTTGTGACATCCCACTGTTTCATATGTTCGAGCGATGTTGTTATTACATAGCTTTGAACATATGATATGTTCAATATCATGGGATACAAATTTTCAGTGCTTGCAAGACAAGGGTGGTTTGGTAATTTCCTCTTTTTTCATATCTCTGACTGTAAACTTTAAAACTTCACCGGCTATAGAATCAATTGACAATGCTGTGATTTAAATGTCTCACCATGTCAATCTGTTTTTCATAGTCTCGACACTGTTCACGGTGAATCTGCTGGTTCTGTTCGGCCAGACTTGAGGTTTGATGAAGTGACTCTTTCTTTCCATGAAGTTCCGTCCTCAATTTGCTTGCTTCTTCCTGGTATTCCCGACAATCCTCCTCCAACTCCCGAAGTTTGCCCACTGTCCCGGACAAAGCAGAAGTCTTTTCATCTAGCTGTTCTTCCAAACTTGCCATCTGGGAAGTCTTCTTTCGAAGCTGTGGAGATAAAACACGAAAATAGGATATTTAATCCTCTACCTGTACACAATATACATGGGGTCTTTTAGAAGACTGAACATCATGAAATATGAAAGATGCTGTCTAAACTCTCAGTCAAACCTGCTCATGTGGTCACCTGTATTAAGAAACCACCTGTGTTAAGAGACCACTTTTTATGTTCCCAATTTGAAGTAATTTCATTGTGAACTGAACCTATATTAAGAAACAACCTGTGTTAATTATATAAAGACAGTTGTTTTTTTACTTCCTCGGGGCAGTCTCTTAATAGAGGTTTGACTGTAATGATAACATTGACCTTTAGAAAAGCTGTTAAAAGGCTACAGGATCAATAACCTAGTGACAATTCATATGTTTATGAACGTCCAAGAAGGCAGCTGTAGCGATTCATATATCAATGACGAAACAAGTTAAATGTTTAAACTTTAACCCCAAATTCTATTGAAAATGTATGGCTTACATCCTCTAGTGATTTTATAAGGTACTTTAATTTACAAAGTCTTTAATAGTGATTATTGTAGATTTTTTTCAGGTGATTCCTGAACATCTTTTTCAAAACAATGATGATCCTGTTGCTAAAAGGAATAGGAGGGAGGTTCTAAAAAAGTTGGTAAGTCCCATAGGGCAAGCAGGACTCAAGGATTAAACTATTCGAAGAACAACTGCTTCATCAGTTCTGAAGCAAAAGTACACGGTTAAACCTTACCAGAAAACTGCTAAGAAATTCAGTGCATAAAATTAACTCAGTTTGAAAATATAAAATTAATTTGTGTTGATACCTCCCGCTCTATGTTGGTGGTGACTGTACACTTTTCGTTGATTTGTTCCTGAAGGTCGATCAGCTGGACATTGTGGTGGTTAACACGGCCCTCCATTGATGTTACATGAGCGTCTTTGTCAGCAAGATCTCGCTGAAGGTCGGACACTTGTTTCGTCTGCCGGGCTTTCTCTATTTCCATGTGGCTTATGACTGCCTCCAGCTCCTGTGCTTTGGTCATTCCTAAAGTTTGAATGAACTTTGAATTATTGATTACGGAACAACAGTTTTAAACAAAACACTTTCTTTCATTTTCGGTATTCTTTTATGATTCACACTTAATTTGATAATATTAATTGCATAATTTTTTCTTAAAACGAACAATTGATGAAGCTGACTGTAGCTGTTGCCATTTATTTGACTGGAAGTCACCACTTTATTTTACAAGGTGTAAATTTTAGCAATAATTCACCCAAAATTTTGTTTCGGTCTGTCTATATTTGCAATGTTTGTGTTAGTTGTGCCACTAACCTTGTTTGTTGCTCTGCACCATGGCAGTGAGTTCTCTGTGAAGGTTCTCAATAACCTGGGTCTGGCTGCTCACTTCCTTGGCCTGTATGTCAGCCTGAAGTCTCTGAATCTCTGCATCTTTCATTGCGAGCCTCATCCTAGCAGAAGAACCAGTATACATTCAATGCTTGTTTTGTCACTAATCCAGTTGCCCTACTATCAAGCAAGTGTTTTGGGGTCCAATGTACTTTTGGTATATTGAGAAGTCCCAGTAAGTCAACTGTTAAACAATACAGTCGGTTAACCCTTTCACCCCTATGTAACTTTAGTAAACGCTACCATGCATTGATCTGGATGAGTCCATTATGGTCCACAGCGGTGAAAGGGTCAAACAGGGACCAAACGTCCCTAGATAAACAAGGCAACACTGTATATACATTAGATACAATTTAGATTTTAAGATCCAGGAACTCAATGAGAACATCTTTATAACAATTAGAATTATACTTTGACTCATTTTTTTTAATACTTCACATTAAATGACCTACCTGAGGTCCTGTAAGATGGCCTGTGCCCCGCCCGCTGAGCCAGATGCTCCAGTTTTGTCGACAGATCGGAAGGAGGTTGAGGCGTTGTCTTTACTGGAGGGACTAGAGGGTTGCACACTGAACATTCCACTGTCATTGAAACTTGTGTTGGCTTTCTGGGACTATCACAGAGAAAAATACAACAAACTTATAACTAGCTTTCATAAATGAAATTTAAATGAATTTATTTTTGACATATTATTGGTCAAGACTAGTATGGTCATTGATATAGATGTGTAATTGTTAGAAGACCTGATGTGTAAGTTGATACTACAAATAGTGATGTAAGGCCTGCACCCTATATTGACCCGGTTTTTGACCCTTGTGCTAGTTGACCTAGTTTTGGAGCTACATTAAGTGTTCCAGATAGGTCAGCATGGTATACAAACCTAGTTTTGGACCTGCTGTGCTAGTTGTTCAAGTTGGGTCAGCATGGTATACAAACCTAGTTTTGGACCTGCTGTGCTAGTTGTTCTAGTTGGGCCAGCATGGTATACAAACCTGGTTTTGGACCTGCTGTGCTAGTTGTTCTAGTTGGGCCAACATGGTGCGACTTTCTTCAATTTCTTGTTGACATGTATTCAGTTGCTGCTGCTGACCATCGATATGGCCTTTAAGGCGGACGTTTTCTCTCCTCAAACTCTCATTGTGCATACTTTCAGACTCCATTTCATCTGTATGTAATAAGGGTTCTATTTGTAATTTAATTAAGAACAAGTCTGCATTATTGTAAAATATGCACACTATCTATTATTAACCACCGATGTGTCAGAGGACAACAAAAAGCATCCTCGAAATACTCTGCGTGTGTCATGCTCTCAAACATTTTCTGCATTCCTGGTTATTCCAGGAATATGTCAGTCGGAAGTTGATAGCTACGTACTGTGTGGATGATACAAATAGACTTATTTGATCCTCTGATGTACATCGAAGAATTGTATGAGCAACAGTAAAGAGGAACGGTAACAGTAAAATTGACTGGCTTGAGGGTGTTGCTCCACTTGAGTCTTCAAAGGCTAGGTATCAGCCTTGCAATTGGTCAGGTTTGTTTAATTTGAAACCAATCAAATGGCTAACTGTGTGCCTTTGATTTTGTCATGACATGGAGGGGGACAGATAACATAACTGAGTGTAACCCCTGGAATATCGAGGATGAACAAAGAGTAGTGGCAAAGATAACCTTATGCAGTCACAGTTATTCTTTTATAGCATGAAGCTTTCCAAACTACAATGACTTATCTGTTCAATTTGTATGACCTTGACCTACTTACTGAGTTGAGTTGTGACCTTGGCCAGCTGTGACCTCAGGTCCATATTTTGATGCTCCATGTCTTGTCGACTATCCAGTTCTACCTCCTCCACCGTCTCCAGTCTCCTGGTAAAGAAAGGTACAACCCTGATTATGTTATCCTATGTCAAACAAAGTTATATTGATATGCATATTCCCCCCCTGAAATAAATGGCATTTCATCACTTGCTGTGAAAGTGGAAATTATCGCATACAGAAATGTTGGTGTCACGAATCTTTTAAACTGATTGCAATATGGAAATGTTCGTGCTATGACACCTTAAACTGATAGGGGAGTGGAAATTTTCACAGTGAGAATGGTTCTGAAATCTACATATTCTATATATCATTATTATAATTTATATATTCTATAAACAAATATTCATGTGAGGATATTTTCACACAAATTAATGGGATGCAAAAAATTGCGAGTATTTCCACTTTTACAGTACTTGACTAATCTGAAAATAGTGATACAGTTTATTTTTCAGGCCATGAAGTTAAACGTGCCATATTTCATACCGACAAACCAGGATGCTGTATTGCCCTAATAGTCAGAGCTCCTGTTTGTTCGGAACTCATCAGTTATCTACAGATCAAATAGAATGTTCAAACTCTCCTAAATATGGATGCTATAGATTTGATGTAAACATAAATATATCAATTTAAAGTTGATCAAGAGATTATTTATAAATACTGGACGTTTCTGTTAAATTGGTAATAATTCCTTTTCGGTGCTGTCACAGGTCTTGGTTGGAGTGTCAACTATCTGGAATATCCCAACACAGAATACTTTGAGTGTAGAGACAATTTGAGTGTGCTGGCCACCGGTTCATATTTGACTGATACTTGTGGTATTCAATTTATCTCCAAAGTAACATTAATGATGTCATATTAGTAGGTAAAATGTTTTAATTATCAATAGGATGTGTGTACACTGTTTACCATTGTAAGGTGGGGACTTTTTATGGACGTTGACTAAGCTATAACAAGTTAAACTGTCGTCAGAATGGCAGAATAATACACAGACCACTCCATGCCAAGAACTGTGAGAATATTTCTTTCAAGGTTGTTTGTAAGAAAAGGGTGGTAACTCAAATCTATATATATCTACTTTAATCACATCCCCTCCATATAAGGGTTCTATAAGTTTGTATGAAAAGTTTTGATAAGGCATGACATCATGTTACATGTACAAATATTGCTAAACAATAGATAACTATTATACACTGTGCTGCAGGTCTGTTAGGGCTGTCACAAGCAGTCACTTTTGATTGTCTCTGGTGATCTGCCGCCAACCCTTTCAGTTTCTGATATTCACGACGGACAGCATCTTCAAGATGCGACTACAAAAAAGTACAGATGTGACAACAAACTTGACCTCCCTACCTGACCTCCTCATGCAGAGATTTTGACTTGGACTGCAGGAGGTTGACTCTCTCCAGCAGATCTCCGCGCTCCTGGTTTGCATGAGCCAGACTGTCTCTCAGGTAGTCCTCAGTGCCCTCCATCTACCAACAGAAGACACAGTTGTATCAGGTTAATTTGATAATCTACAGGAACGAACATACTGCATGGATATAGGTCCCCTGTATCTACATACAGTACAACACAATTAGGCTGCTTCCATATTCTGGTCAAACAGTCAATGTACTTTTTACTTACTATGTACGTACCTCAAAACGGTACAGGGATTCAATAAAATGGTGTATTTACCTTTTTCATTCTCTCCTTGGATTTCTTTTGGTATTCCTCAAGAGTTTCCTGAGCTTCCAAAAAGTTGGACAGAGCCTCATCTCGCTGGCTTTCAGCTCTTTTAAAGAAAACATAGAAAAGATGAATGATTTTCACATGAACCTAGGATCAAGTCATGATCTTTGTTGATGATTTCATTCATCTTAATAAAGAATGAACAGCATTGATGTTGATTTAGCAGCTGGCACCTATAAATACACCAGGGTAGAAATATGCTCTAAATCTCTAGGACCTCCTGGCCTCAGAAAAGTTTATAGTAAAATGTATTTTGTAGAGAAGTAGAGAAGATGATAACACATGCTATTTCAGCCTTGTCAAATGCAATCATAATGTGAGTAAATTGATTTATAATGGCTGTATAAAGTGTTTGTTTTGTTAATCCTACAGTAGTAACCTAAATTAATCGCCTATTGACCATGCTAAAAGGATCCGGTGGTAATTGCTTTAGGCTCCAGTGAGCATGCTTGATGTATACCTGTGGGCTTGTCATCCGGTCCCCTCCCCACTAATTACAGGACCCCAGCTGTGGCAATACGCCTATCATGCAACTGACCAGTGGGGTTATTGCTGGACTTGGGTCAGCCTTGTGATTTAATCAGTGTCAATTTATTGTTTGAAAAATAACCTTCAGTACAATTAACAAGGTGATACGGTTCACAGTTTAAGGTGATACGGGTCAATTAAGCTGATACGGCAGGGAGGATTTCAAACTGAAGCTGATACGGAGCCGTATCAGCTAAACGGCCTGGGGAGAACCTCGAGTCCAGTCATGATCACCAGTCTTAAATCTCCGCTTTATAGTGCAAGGCCTGGTCAGGTCTGGGATGGGGGGTTAAATAATTTCAATTCCTCATGAATAAGGGGGAAGGGCAAATAGGGGGAGGGGTGTTAATAGCAATGAATACGGTTTTAGGATCTCAAAAAAAATCAGTTGATAGGTAAAAACTAGGGTAAGTAGCGGAAGTGGAAGCATATCTTTGCCCATACAATATCTTTAAATCTATAAATAGCTTAAAATGTACCCTTTTCTCTTCTTTCTTTCCTGCGTGATCTCCTCTTTAACTTCCTCTATTTCTTGTTCATGTTGTTTACATTTTTGATGGTAAATGTTGGCCTGTCTCTGGCATTTCTCATACCTCTCCTCTGCACTCCTGAACCAAAACAAAAATTTCATCAGGACGCTTCTTCAAACAAAATGACATTCTCAAAAACAGCTGTTAATTTCAAAACTTAAATGTTTCGCACTTCAGACATCATTACACTTCATTTTGACAAGTGTAGAAGTAACACTAACAAACTGAACCTCATCTATATAACGGCATTTGATTGGATTATACTGATCACATGATGGGGAAATAAAGCATTATGCTTTCTACCTGTGATCGAGTTTCCCTTATTCAGGGTCTCTCTACCTTATTCAGGGTCTCTCTAGAAAAATGACCTGGACCATCTTTTACTGTTGTGTTATTTTTTTTTCTATTTCGTAGTAATCAAATATTTATTGGCCTTGTGGTATGGAAAGTCTTTCTTTGTTTTTCCCAATTCTTTGTTCCCACTCCATTAAGCATGTTTCACTATGGCTTCCCTCTTGTTGCACATGATTAATCTCAGGGAAATCATGTTTCCCTTCCACAAAAGCAATAAATGCATATTGTTTCATCAAAGGTATTGACATCATGAAGATTAACGAACTTTAAGGCAATAATCTATAGTAAGCAAAGGAAGTAAAAGTCTGTTTTAGATAAAACATTTACATTAGAGCATTATCCTGTGCCTCTGTCTCTGCTTGTAGTCCTACGATCTTGTCCTCTAGGTCTGGAATGGATTGTCGGTATTCGTCCAACTCATTGCTTAGTTCTTCTATCTTTGATTAAAAGAAAAGTGTCTTACTACATGACTTATAATGTGGTCATTTGAAAAATGGATGAATGAATTGAAAATTTCTGAAAAGGTACCTAAAATATTCAAATTAACAAAATTGTCATCATACTCACAGTATCCTTACAAATAAAAACCTTTCAGCTTCTTAATTTCTTCCTCCTAGGGTAAATAGGTTGCTGTACAATGCATATAAGAATTCTGACTGATTTCACCCTCATGAACTTTTGACCCCTACCTTGACCCTGCTGCTGTTGACCTCTTGACTGCACTTTTCTATCTCTGCCAGCAGTTTATGGTTCTGTTGAAGCAGTTTCCTGTTTGCCTCCTTGAGGTAGCGGGCCTCCTCTGGTTCTGGTCGATACAGGCTCTGCTGAGGCCGAGGTTCCCTGTACACGCCCGGCTTCTCCTGGCTTTCTGTTCTTCTAGATGTCTGGGAAACAAAGAAATGAATCCTCAATGATAAGACCTTTGAACAGATATAATGTAAAAGTAATGAAATGTTTGTGTTGTGACGCTTCGAACTGATTGTGATGTCAAAATTTTTCCCCCTTGGCAATGGTTCTGAAAATTTATATATCCGATTTAACATTTATCTCTATACAATTTATATACTTGTGTGTGTATATTTTGGCTCTAATTTACTCAACTTTTCTGTAATGGATTTGGAAGCGGCGCTTGTACTTTCAGCACCTCCATAGAATAAGTACAAATTAACATATACAATAAAATAATCATTTACTTCATTACCCAATACCTTTCAATGCACAAGTATGGAAATGTATGATTTCAAAATCACAGGAAAAATAATCACTAAAATACCTGTGGTCTATTTGGCGTACTGGATGGTGGTTGTATTCTTTCAAATCCTGCGTAGGACGAATCTGGAAGAGTTGCCAGTCCTGATTGGATACTTTCCCTATCATCCACATCCATCATCTCCTTATTAGGAAACTGAAGGTGATCAAACATATGGAGCCTCTCGGACATTGGTATACTGGTCACCGAATCAAGGTCATCACTGCAAAGAGCATGTGCATAAAAATATGATTTATGATTTACAAGTCCAAATAAGAGCATCTAACCTTACTATAACCTTACTATATGGTGTATGTAGATTCTGACCCAAGGTTATATACCATGGGCCAGATTGGGGGTTCGATTCAAATCCAGAGGCTTTCAAACTCTAGATTTAGAGAAGACCATATATGCAGCGAATTTTGACAGGCTTTATTGTCTATGATCAATTGTAGTAGATGAAGGGTTTGGAATTTTAGAGTGACAGATTTCTCGTTCTGACTTGCTGCTCCTTTTTAAAGTACCTTAGCACTATTTGTGCATCCTTTCTCCTTATTTGAGTTCTGAATGCAAAATTATTTATTTTGATTTTTGTTTCTTATTTGAGTTCTGAATGCAAAATTATTTATTTTGTTATACATTCAGTGCATTTTTGTAACTTTTGTTTTAAGAGACAGAACATAATATAATGTTTTCAAAAGTCTCTAGTAGAAAAATGATGTAATATTTCTAAAAAATGGTGCAAAATGGTTCTTGGGAATGCTTATGAACAAATGCCACTTCATAATTCAAATCGCTATCACAGCGTATCCTTGAAATTTCAAGGATGCAATTACAGTGACCTTAATAATTGACCTTTAAACTGCAAAAGGTATTGAAACCAAACATTTATAGTATTAGGAAACAAAAAAAAGTGCATAAAAAAGTTTCTGAGTTTTGTGATTTTTACCATGGCCAGCCAACTTCAGCTAATGAACAGTGACCTTGACTGTAAAACCTGAAAATGAACATGAGTGAATGCATGGAAACCAATTTCCTATCTTAAGTACCAATGGCTTTTAATTTTGACCAATAGATCTGAAATGAGGTATATGTTTTACAGGCAATCAGGAACTTAAGTTACTGCACAGAAACCAATTTTCAATTTATGAGCACTGGATGATGACATTGACTCTTGGCCATCTGATCATGCAGGGATAATCTTGGCGGCACCATGACCCCTCAAAACTGAAATTGACCCCTCCATGTTCCAATTTTCTTTAAATTTTACAATTTACATAGAATGGCCCCTTAGTTTTGATATTAACTGCTATTACTTCTGTAAGCTACGATAACATATAGTTTCTGACGACAAGACAATTTTTATATATAGCATCGTCAGAGCTACGAACCAGTCTTATGTCAACTAATTGAGCAAAATTGAAAGTGTCCCAATCTGTAAATTTACATATAATTCATGCTTCATATGAGGACATAACAAACCCTTACTAATAAAATAACTTAGCCAAGTTCGTAATGGGGGGTAAAAATGACCGCCATGACAGATCGCGCATGAAGTCATCACAGTTATCCGTTTCTGTATATATGGCCTGCACGGCCAAAAATAGTATTACTACTGATGTTGCCATGTTTACTTCAAATTCCATTTAGGTCATGCATGACACCCACATATAGACATCTGACCTAAATTGGAAGAGAGACAAAGTTTCGTACATGGCAGTCAATTTAGATTTTAATTGCCGTTCTACTTCAACTTGATAGTTTTAGGCAGAGTTTAAGTTTGATTAACACAAGAGATCAACAGAAATAGTTCATAGACATACTACAAACCTATTTATGGATGCGGACCAATGTGCTAAATCAAGTTATGCTAAAATTGCCCCGGTGTGATTCACATCGGGCTTGCTCCATTACAATTAAGGCATGGGATCAATTTAATAACCAGTCGGGTGTTAATGAGAAAGTTCTAGGTCTACCTTAGCTTTTTTAAAGTTATAAGACTTGTTAGATTTGTATGTGGTCGACCAGATCTGCAAACGCATACAATATCATATGTAGCATGACATTTCTTTGACAAGACAACTGCTTGTGAAACCACGGATTTAAATCTAATTCTGAGGTGAAACATAGTAAAAAAAATAGTAACCTTTTCAATATATTCAGTTGAAACAACCTTGGGGCAAACTGGATTTAGGGCGAAACAACCTTATGTGCGAATGGGATTTAGGGCGAAACGACCCGGATCCAGCGCGGAACTGGACTGGGTAGAATAAAAAATAAAAGTGAATGCTTGACAAGGGGTCATCATGTACCCGAACCCGGGTTGTAGATGGTGTTGTCTTCGAGGACTAAAACCTAGATTTACATATTTACAGTCAATTTAAAGCTTATATACATCTTTAAAACATCTGGGAAACTTACTCGTCCGTTCTTTCTATTTTTGACAGTTTGTTCAGATGTCTCTCCGTCTCTCGCAATCTTCTTCGTAGATCCTGAACGTTCTGCATCAACAAAACCTGAGGTTGACATTCATCCATATTGAAATTGTCTGTATCTATTATATCAATTTAAAATTGGCCATTTCAAAACCGGTCAAATCGGTTCATGCATGGCTCTAAGCACGAGAACCCAATGTTTATCTTCTGAAAAGTTGAAAACATGCTGCAACATGTGACTCTGGAACGAGAGATGTAAACACTGGTTCACTGACACAATCACATTTCAAAAGTTGTTTGAAATGGTTAAAAAAATAACCGGAATTTAAACATTAAAGATCAAATGACGACATATCATTGAAAACAATTCTGGCATCAAACATCAACTTGGATTCTGGACAGAAACGAAAATAGAAGATGAAGCCGCGTTGTGATGCGATTGGCGGATTTAAAAATAGATTAATCTAGGTTATGTTAAAGCTTTTTTGTTTTAAATCTATACTTTCCTATTTAAAATAGAAATGGGAACAAGTAAAACCCTTTCAATTATTCAGAGTACTATATTTTATGTATGTTTGATATAAGTGTGTCGCGTTTTAATATACATTTATTTCTCCTTTTCAAAGAAATGTCCAAAGCGCATAAGTTACCAAGAGTTGACTTTATGCGCCGAATCGTGGACGACTTCCTTTTCCGCCTATATAGGCCCCCAACCGAAGCTATCTGAGGGAAACTCGAAGGATATCTTCGAAAAAACCCTAACAATGGTGAGAGTGCACTCACGATTTTACTATAAAATTAAATTTTATAAATTTTCATTCGTAATTGTGGTAAATTTGAACGCAGATGGTAGTTACTGCAACTGATTTAAGTGGATTGTAAATGTGGTTGGTCGCCTTCATGAACGAGAATAACGAGTATACACGTGTGTTGACGTATTGGCAAAGTGTTTTAATTCCTCATTGCGTCGCAAACTCTGACACGAAATTCTATTTTATCATCCAGATAATGTTAACACTTGAAAAACGCTCAAATTTAGCTTTATTTCATTAGCGGTGTTATAATGCTTGACATTTGTGACAACCGAGAAACGGGTCATTTGATAACTGATCAAGTTATACCGGTTGTATTGATAATCAGTGACATTCACATATATGATTAAGCATGCTTTCAAGCAAAGGAGAATAAGTCATAACATTCCCAGTTTATTTTACGGGTTGGTTCCCCCCCCCCCCTCGAGGTGGTAATTTCATTCTGAAATTCTGCCCGACTATTACCTTGTGTGCCAAATGAACATTTTGATTAGCAACTGGCATAGACATTTAAATGGTGTCCACTTGGTAGGCCTTCTTCAATTCACTTGTACAGAACGGGGTTTGAGAATAAAATAGCTTTTAATAAACCAAGAACCCCACTCCAGATACCCATTTCACAGGATGCGCCATACTTGACAAATATCCGATAGCGCATATTTAGGGTATAGTTTGAACAAGAAAATCTGAAAAGGTTTAATGTAAATCGTCAAAGTAGTAATGTGTTATTGAATGGCAGCAAGAGAAACTTTCAGAGAGTTCTCAACTGGCATTAAGCTTCTGGACTTGACACATTGCCTTGGAACAAGAGAATACAGCTGTCGAGGGAGCAGCGGTTGTGATGTGTTATATTTGTTATGCATGTTAAGGATGTCTAAAAATACTGGGAATCCATCTTGAAGTGAATTGTACTTTGAAAGGCTCTGCGAATCCATCTTGAAGTGAATTGTTCTTTGAAAGCCTTAATTTGATTTCTGAAAACTATTACCGATCTACAAAGAAACATGCAGTTTTTACATTTTCATGCTCAGAATTATTGTATTTTATCAATTTACAGGGGTTCGTTAAAGTTGTGAAGAACAAGGCATACTTCAAGCGATTTCAAGTGAAATTCAGGAGGAGGCGTGGTGAGTACTTACTGTAAAGCATGTACCATTTTTTTCCCCAGAAACTTGGAATCCATTTTCAAGCCAATGCAAATTGTTTTTAGGATTATTAGCTCACCTGGTCCGAAAAAGGGGTTATTTGGCTATATTGCTATAAATGACTTCTTCTGTAGAACTAGGCCATGGATATTGATCATGCTTGGTTGGAAGCATTCATGAGAGGCAGGGATTCAAAATTGTACAAATGGTGGGGCTGACCCCCCGAGCTAAGGGTTGGGGCCAAAAAATATATACAATTGCTGAGTATAAAGAGAATAAAGCACATTTGCTTCCAGGATGGCCCTAGGGTCTGGCCCCACCCTTGATGGTATGGATTTCATTTAGATAACAAGCAAATGTATTTAACCACAAAAAGATATGTACACATTGTTTAATTAATTAGTCTTATAAGATTGCCTTTTCATATAAGACCTTTTTTACTCGGTACTTTTTGTTGGGATAATTTCAGGCTAGGAGATCAAGTGTGTTTACTATATGTGGGCAAGGGAGACATAGTACCTTGTTCACAAATTTAAAACGATTGAGATCCCCACCCCAAAACTAGGTATACAAATGCTGGGCATAAAGAAACGAATGCAGTCATGATATTAGAATAGACCCTTGGGTCTGACTGAAGCCCTAGGGACCTAGTTTCTTAGTCACAGCTTGGAAACAGTTGAGATCACCACCATATAACCATATATACAATTGCTGAGTATAAAGAGATGAATGCACATATGCTCCATTATGACCTTGGGGTTTGCCCCACCCTTGGAGACTTAACCCCTGGGTCATACCTTCGAAATGGTTTAGATCCCCACCCCATAACTAAACATACAAATGCTGGGCAAAAAGAGACAAATTCAGTCATGATACTAGAATTGATCCTGGGGTCTAGCTAGCCACAACCCTAGGGACCAAGTTTCTGAGTCGCAGCTTAGAAACAGTTGAGATCCCCAACCCATAACCATGCTTAAAATTGCTGGGCATGCAAAATCTAATACAGATTTGCTACAAGGATTGGCCTTGAGGTCTGGCATATTCCCCTGGATCTCATTTGGAGAATATTTTGCAAAGGTTGCTTAGATATCCAGGTGAGCAATAAAGGCCCTCTGAGACTGTTGTTTCAGTTAAGCACCAGACTATCCATAGAACTTACAAAAAAAATTGAAATCAGTTAGCAGTTGTACACACATTTTGTTTAGCTCTGAACAATTAACTAAAAATAAGCTATTCAATTGGTCAGTGTTATATTTTAAATAAAAATCAATTTTATTAATAAAAAAAAAACACCATTTGACAGTTTTCAATGTTTTATTCCTGTGGTTATTTAGAGGGCAAGACAGACTACTTTGCTAGGAAGCGCCTCGTCATCCAAGAGAAGAACAAGTACAATACTCCCAAATACAGGCTTATTGTACGCTTCACAAACAGGGACATCATTTGCCAGGTAATTGTTTTGTTGCTAGTTTGTGTGTTTCATAAATAATGTCACCAGTGGGTTTTTCTGCTATTGTAAATGATGTTGGAAACAACCGCATTTCAAATGCAAAATGAAATTTTATCCCCAGCTTTCACTGAAATGGAGATATTAATTTGGTATGATTGGTTTATGTGTAAAACTCTCCTATAAATGGTTCAATTTTAACAAACTTTTGGTGAACACATTCATATTGGCAAGTGTCGGGTTAAAGTGTACTGGTATGTACTGTCGGTGGTCGTCGGAATGAACCTTGTCTAGATAACAAGGATTTAGTGTCACAAACCTAATGTGTAGTTACTCATCATTCAAAGACATATTTGGTCTGATAATTGTGTAGAGAGTTTTTCCCCTTTGTATATTTGGAGCATTACAAATCTCAACGAATAAATTCAGTTTTTGGGTATATTGTTTACTCTTGGGAAAATCTTCTATATATATTGTTTGGTTATTATACCAAGTTAGTTAAAATATTTCACTTGCATTGTAGATAGCATACGCCAGGATCGAAGGTGATCACATTATTTGCAGTGCATATTCACATGAACTGCCAAAATATGGCGTGAAGGTAGGGCTGACCAATTATTCTGCTGCTTACTGCACCGGATTGCTGCTCGCAAGAAGGGTAAGTGAATAAAGGCTGTTTGTTATTTGTAAGTATTTTATGCTGCAAGGATAACTTCAACATTGTAATGCAGACCTACAACACCTATAATATTCAAGTTTTGTTACTTTTCTTTCGCTCTTTAGGTTTTCTATTTTTAACTCCCTGGTTTATCATGAGGTTTTTTATAGCATTTGTTTTTTTGACAAATGAAGCATTGTTGAATACAATTCAGGCTTGTGCAAAGATTTGGTTTTGAGATTTGACAAGGAGTGCAAACTGAAAGGCTGAAAACACCTCAAAGTTTAAGTGTATTGCATCTCGAGACAAGTATGATATTTTGTTGAATACTTCCATGATTTATATCAACCTGGTGTTGTTTGTTACAGCTGCTGAAGCAGTTTAACCTGGACACAGTGTATGCTGGCCAGACAGAGGTGGATGGTGATGAGTACTACGTTGAGGATGTTGATGGTGAGGCTGGAGCCTTCAGGTGTTATCTGGATGCTGGTCTTGTCCGAACTTCCACTGGTGCCCGTGTCTTCGGTGCATTGAAAGGTGCAGTGGATGGAGGATTAGATATCCCCCACAGGTAAATGGAACATTGAACTTAACAGCATGTTGCGAAACGGTAAATAGAGGGAAAGACGCAATATGTTCATCATAAATTGATACTACTAGCGTGTCAAAAAACAGTGTAGAATCTCCAAGGAAGCATGGCCTCAATTGATGCAGTGAAGGATTTTTGTTTTAATTCAATTGCATAGTTTAGTCTTTATAAAGATAACACTGGTATGATTGATGTCTTCTGAAAGTCGGCCTCTACGTTTTGTCTGACTGTAGCATATCATTTTATTACCAATCTCCTCATTCACGAGAACAAGGCACACTTCAAGATCACTAGAACTTTATCTGGGCAATAACTGTATCATATTTTTTTTATATAAACTTGATGAACATGTTTATTTGAGACAGTGTTTACCAAACCTTTTAAGTGTGAGTAGATGTGATGATAACATGCGTGTCATTTGACCTGGTGTAAGCATTGGTCCTCATATTGGTGGTGATGTATCATCACTGCTGATTTTGATGTCCAGTGATCTGCACCAGGATATGATTTAGGATGATCTGATTACTAATGTTATAAAATCCTAGTGTACCTGCATTGTAGCACCTCTTTGTATTTTGCAAAATGGGTAAAGCAAGCCCAATTGGTTTTAATTTGGACAAGTAGTAGTTTATTTTGACTGGCCTAAAATATGAAATTTTATTAACATGACTAATTGCAGATGGACAATACAAAAACACATTGCATTATCATGCATCATTATGTCTCCCTTTCAAACTAAAGGGAGACATTTATTATACTTTTAATAAAAAAAAAAATCAATATTGTAATATTAAAATCCTTGATGTCTTTTAAGAATCTTGAATTATCCATGCAACAGATATTTGTGCAGTGGTTTCTACTTAGGTTAGGTTACTTCAACCTTTATTTCTAGGTCAAATTAATACCATTGCTGCAAAAACTGATCAAATGAGCAAGTGATTTATCACGGCTGTTCCATAATTGATCATATTGGAGAGGTGGGAGGCACCTGTAAAGATATGTTATTGGTGGTGGGTTTAACCCTTTCACCCCTAAGTAACTTAAGTAGACTCCACCTTGCATTGATCTGGATGAGTCCATTATGGTCTGCAGTGGTGAAAGGGTTAAAATCATTTCTGATATTAATTATTTTTAAAATTTGATAGGTGGTAAGGTCTCTGAAAAATAATGCTTCCCACCCTTCCCATACGTTCCACCCTTCCCGCATTGCATGCAAGGCAATATATGTCTTGAAATCCATCCCATATTCAACCAGACAAAAAGGATAATTGATTCTTTTGAATACAAATAACCGATTTGTACAAAATTCTGATAATAAAAGGAGTAAATATGATGAAAACATGCGTGTCATTTGACTGTTGGTCGGTTCTGGTCTTGAGATGAATGGTGATGTTTTTTCATTGTTTGCTCTTCTTGTCCAGCTACCTATCTTCAGATATGATTTAAGATGATCTGATTACTCTTTACACTAAGAATACTGTACAGTCACTTGTTAAACCAAACAAAATGTGCAAGTGATGAGAATAACATTCTGGTAAATGAAGGATTTTAAAATCAGACCCATCTACTATTCTTGATGCTGAATTACTTTCAAAATTTGGCTGGTGGTGGGGTCTCTGAAAAAGTGGTTCCCTCAGCCTGGCCTCCCATACGTTTATTTCTGGAACAGCCTGAGTTTTTTTCCCCCCCAATTGCATATCCTCTCTAGTATTGGTACTGGTCCTTATTCAGTACAGTACCAATATGTCTTGAAATCTATCCCACATTCAACAGGTCAAAAATGATAATTAAATCTTTTGAATACTTACAACCGATTTGTACAAAAGTCTGATATAAGAAAAGAAAGAGTCAGTATGATGAAAACATGCGTGTCATTTGACTGTTGGTCGGTTCTGGTCTTGAGATGAATGGTGATGTTTTTTCATTGTTTGCTCTTCTTGTCCAGCTACCTATCTTCAGATATGATTTAAGATGATCTGATTACTCTTTACACTAAGAATACTGTACAGTCACTTGTTAAACCAAACAAAATGTGCAAGTGATGAGAATAACATTCTGGTAAATGAAGGATTTTAAAATCAGACCCATCTACTATTCTTGATGCTGAATTACTTTCAAAATTTGGCTGGTGGTGGGGTCTCTGAAAAAGTGGTTCCCTCAGCCTGGCCTCCCATACGTTTATTTCTGGAACAGCCTGAGTTTTTTTCCCCCCCAATTGCATATCCTCTCTAGTATTGGTACTGGTCCTTATTCAGTACAGTACCAATATGTCTTGAAATCTATCCCACATTCAACAGGTCAAAAATGATAATTAAATCTTTTGAATACTTACAACCGATTTGTACAAAAGTCTGATATAAGAAAAGAAAGAGTCAGTATGATGAAAACATGCGTGTCATTTGACTGTTGGTCGGTTCTGGTCTTGAGATGAATGGTGATGTTTTTTCATTGTTTGCTCTTCTTGTCCAGCTACCTATCTTCAGATATGATTTAAGATGATCTGATTACTCTTTACACTAAGAATACTGTACAGTCACTTGTTAAACCAAACAAAATGTGCAAGTGATGAGAATAACATTCTGGTAAATGAAGGATTTTAAAATCAGACCCATCTACTATTCTTGATGCTGAATTACTTTCAAAATTTGGCTGGTGGTGGGGTCTCTGAAAAAGTGGTTCCCTCAGCCTGGCCTCCCATACGTTTATTTCTGGAACAGCCTGAGTTTTTTTCCCCCCCAATTGCATATCCTCTCTAGTATTGGTACTGGTCCTTATTCAGTACAGTACCAATATGTCTTGAAATCTATCCCACATTCAACAGGTCAAAAATGATAATTAAATCTTTTGAATACTTATAACCGATTTGTACAAAAGTCTGATATAAGAAAAGAAAGAGTCAGTATGATGAAAACATGCGTGTCATTTGACTGTTGGTCGGTTCTGGTCTTGAGATGAATGGTGATGTTTTTTCACTGTTTGCTCTTCTTGTCCAGCTACCTATCTTCAGATATGATTTAAGATGATCTGATTACTCTTTACACTAAGAATACTGTAGAGTCACTTGTTTAACCAAACAAAATGTGCAAGGGATGTTAATAACATTCTGGTAAATGAAGGATTTTAAAATCAGACCCATCTACTATTCTTGATGCTGTATTACTTTCAAAATTTGATTGGTGGTGGGGTCTCTGAAAAAGTGCTTCATATCCCTCAGCCTGGCCTCCCATACGTTTATTTCTGGAACAGCCTGAAGTATTTTTTACCCAATTGCATATCCTCTCTAGTATTGGTACTGGTCCTTATTCAGTACAGTACCAATTTATGTCTTGAAAAAAAGATAATTAAATCTTTTGAATACCTATAACCGATTTGTACAAAATTCTGATATAAGAAAAGAAAGAGTCAGTATGATGAAAACATGCGTGTCATTTGACTGTTGGTCGGTTCTGGTCTTGAGATGAATGGTGATGTTTTTTCACTGTTTGCTCTTCTTGTCCAGTTACCTATCTTCAGATATGATTTAAGATGATCTGATTACTCTTTACACTAAGAATACTGTACAGTCACTTGTTAAACCATGAAAAAAATGAAATTGATGTTACAAACTTGTTACAAGCAAAGTTTTGGTTAATGAAGGATTTTAGAATGCTTCAATTTGATATTTTTACAGCACAAAGCGTTTCCCTGGATACGATGGGGAGAGCAACGAGTTCAATGCTGAGGTTCACCGCAACCATATCTTTGGCAAGCATGTAGCTGGATATATGGCACATCTACAGGGTGAGGATGAGGATGCCTACAAGAGGCAGTTCTCCAGGTTCATCAAGAATGGCCTTACTTCAGAAAATGTAAGTGTGATGTGTATTTGGGCATCGTTTACCTTAACTCTGTTAGATATTCACTTTGTCATCAGAGCCGTGAAAGTGGTGGTTGTAGTGTTCTTTTTCATTAAGTAAATATAAATCAATAGCAAGCAAAAGAGTAAAAATGCAGTGGATATGAAACCATTCGTTGATGCTTTCAATTATGTTGAGTATAGATGATGAAAACATGCGTGTCATTTGACCTGGAGTGATCTTTGATTTCTTGTCTATCACTGATGTTTTTTCAGTGGCTAGTTGAAGTGATCACTTGTGACCTCTGGGATATGATTTATGTGATTCTGATAACTCGATAAAATGTCAAACGTCTTTCCCATATAATCAAGTTTTAATGAAATTGAAATGCATTATGAACATGGTCTAGCATTCCTGTGCATTGTTTTGTACATGAGTTAGGACCAGTTAGATTATATGTCTGAGATAAACACAAGTTGCTGTTTGTTCATGTATAGCTGGAAGAGATGTACAAGAAGAGTCACGCTACCATCCGAGCCAATCCGGACCGTGCAACAAAGCAGAAGAAGGAACCAGCTGGCAAGGTGAAGAGGTGAGTCACCATTCTATTATTGGCATGTGTAGAAGGAATATTCCTATGAATCCATTGATGAGATAATTAACCTGTATGAGTTAAAAGCCCTGATAAATTTAAAGGAGGTCTTGAGTTAGGTTGAGGATTTGGCCTATATATGTCTTGAGTAAGAAAAAAATGTACAATGCCATGCACATATTTTGTTCAACTTAAACTTAACCTTTGTCTTCATATAATATGAAAATTTATCTAGTTTCAATCAGTATCTTGTCATATTTGAGGTATTGTGCAGAAAATGTTTACGCATGGCATTGGACAGGCATATAAAACAATCGTCCCTGCGGTACTAGCGGTTTTTGTGGTATTGAGTATTTATGATATCATTTAAAAAGTCCATGTTGTGTAATGTTAAAATAACAAGGCTAACTACAGAAAGCATGATGAAAGTCTGTTGCCCCAAGAAGAAGGCAGTGCTAAAGCAATTGTTGAATTAGAAATTCTTCATTTTTAATTTCTAAGATTTAACTATGTGCCTTGATATTGCTAACCATCATGGTTATGTTTTTCTTCTGTAATTGCAGGTGGAACCGATCCAAGATGAGTCGTCTCCAGAGGGAGGACCGAGTGAAACAGCGAAAGGCGAACTTCCTCAAAGCTTTGGAGGCAGCCGACTAAATTTCACCCCTGTGATATGTGCTAAAAACACTATAAATAAATCTGTCTATGCCCAGATAACATCTTGTGTTGTACTTGAACCAAATAGAAAAACTTAGTTACATTGTTTTGGAGGGATGTGAGGCAATGTTTCATTACGTTTCAAATGTAACAAATGAAATGGTATCTATGTTAAGAAAATAGAAGTTCTAAGTGTCAGGAATGTGGTTATGATAGTTTCCAATTTTCAAGAGAGAAGATTCTTGTGAAAAATATAAGTTTTTTTCAAATTTTATAATTTCATGTCAAAAGAGTGGAAAATCAAGTCTAAGGTGCTCTGAAACATGCATGTTGCATTACAAATTTACAACAGTTTATTTACCGTTAAAACTATTACTCCATGTAGCCTGCTGGAATTTAAATAAATTCCAGCTAAATGGAAGCAGAAAACTTGATAAAGTGAAACATTTTCCTGCACCATATTTCACAGATACTTTTAGTACATGTTTTCGCCATGCAAATGTGAAGATTGAGGTGATATAAAGACTAGTAAAATGTATGATACCCCATCAACAATCAAATCATCCACGAAATTCCAGGGGTTACACTCACTTGCGTTCTCTGCACCACTGGAATATATATAGCGACTGTTTTCGACCATCTTGTGTGGCGACGTGACATTTTTGTGTCGCATTGGCGCCCCAATTTTATTGCGTTGGCAGGGTACTTTTCTCATGTCACATTATCTTTTGGCCATTTAGAGTTTGTTCTATAAAGGGTTTTGATGGTGTTTTGAATTAATTGCACTAAGCTATATTATTAACAATCTTGCACGTTACGTATTTACTACATTGCTGAGGACATGTTTGCTGTTATTGTAAGTGGATGAGTATAATCAGTCACTTGGTTAAGGTGTAATTGTCCTGTATGCTTGTATTTTGTTAAAAAAACACCTACCAAGACAAAGCGACGGTTTTCCTACCAACATTAGTGAGTGACCTTGTTACAACGTCATGATTTGGTCACAACACATTAGTCAACTTCTTTTGAAATAATGTCAAATCATAATTGTTTGCATGGAAAAAAAAACTTAACAACAATCGCGTTACATGAATACAACTAGAACATCGAGAAGTGTGTCTCACAAAATTGGATGACTGACCTTGGGTTAACCACAATTAATTTTAGCTCACCTGGCCTGAAGTTCTGCAGCGTCCGTCGGTCCGTCAACTCTTTCTTTTGAACATCTTCTGGAGGACCTAGGGTCATGACATTTGACCAGTAGGTAGTTGGGCATCCTCGATATCGACGAGTTCACTCACTTTCGCTCTCTGCACCCCTGGAATATGTCATGGCAAAAATTGAAGGCACAAAGATGGCTGTTTGATTGGTCTCTGGTAAAAAAACAACTGACCAATCACTACGCTGATACATCTCCTTTGAAGATTTCAATTTTTACTGTTGCATGAACGCGAGATTCTTTTGATGTACAATCAACAAGGTGGCGCACACCAAGCCTTCAATTTTGCCATGACATATTCCAGGGGTGCAGAGAGCGAAAGTGAGTGTAACTCCTGGATATCGAGGATGGTAGATGGGATGAAGTGCTATAAAAAAATTTCATTAAAATATCCTGTACTTTCAAGGTCACAGGTCAAAAATGTTAAAAAAAATCTAGTCTAGTCATGATACTTACATATGTTATGTAGACTAGCAGTGCAAATCTCATTCTTTATTATGGTAATGAGGACAAAGTTCATCATTGAAGTGCTAGTCGGGGTCAAAGGTCAATATAGGTAAAAACCTTTACTATCTTGTTAATTTCCATAAGGCCAAGGGTCATATTTGGCAAGTAGGTGTGCTATAAATTTTCCTCATTAAAATCACCTAATTTCAAGGTCACTATGGTCAAATGTTAAAAACTTTAAAAAACAATATAGGTATGTTATGTAGACCAGCAGTCCAAATCTTTTTCTTATTCACAGTAATGAGGTCAAAGGTCAACTTTAAGTGCTAGTTTGGGGTCAAAAGTCCACATGGCTTAAAAGCTTTAACAATCTTCTCAAATTCCATAAGGCCCAGGGTTATAATATTTGGCCAATATGTACCTGGGATGGATTGCTATAAAGTTTCCTCATTAAAAATGACATTGACCTTCTTTCAAGGTCACAGGGCTCAAATATGTTAAATATTTAAAACAACAATATCCTAAGAAGCATTTAGACTAGATTCATGATACTTGGGTATGTTATGTAGACCAGCTGTGCGAATCTTTTTCTTTATAACAGTAATGAGGTCAAAGGTCAACTTTAAGTGCTAGTCAGTGGTCAAATGTCAACATGGGTTAAAAGCTTTAACAATCTTCTCAGGTTCCATAAGGCCCAGGGTCATACTATTTGGTCAATAGGTACCTGGGATGGAGTGCTATAAAGTTTCCTCATTAAAATGACTTGGTGTCAATGTCACAGGGCCCAATATGTTAAAAACTTACAACGATATCCTAAGAACCATTTGGACTAGAATCATGATACTTGAAAATGTTTTGAAGACCAGCAGTGCGAATCTTTTTCCTAATTACAGTAATTATAATAATACGCGAGCCGGAGTCAAAGGTTAACGTGGGTTAAGATTTAAAATAACAATTTCAAATTTCAAACAACAATATCTCCAGCGTTTAAGAGATGTTAAAATGTCTTGTGTTCGAGTTACCAAATTTTGTCTGAAGTTACCTATATGTAAAGTCATGTTTCATGTAACAAAAGAAACAGGTGAGCGATACAGGCCCTCTGGGCCCCTTGTATTACGATAGGTTAACATTATAAAAGTTTGAACAAAGCGTTTGAATCAAGGCGTGCAGATCACCTGTTCGGATTCAATTTATCAATTGGAATTCCAGTCCAATTTCACTATTTTCCACTATCGCTTATTTGCACCGCATTTCTCACTCCCGGATCTTCGCCTCAGTACGGCGGACCATTGCTTACTTCACTTGACTTATGTGACGTTCATGTTCGTGGTTTTGAAATCAATTGGTAGGAAAAAATATTTAGTAAGATATAATTCGCTCTCAGTTTGGACTCTAAATATTCGCGACATAAGTAATCCGCTAACGCGACAAAATTAAGGCACCAATGCGCTTTATCGCGCAATTCTGTCGCATTGTCGGGGAAATATTGTCGCATTGGCGAGATGGCCGAAATCAGCCACCATAGGAATATGTCGTGATGAGTTTGAAAGCTCTCGCTGGCAATGTGGATTTCACAAGAACCAATCAATTGCCAGAGTGATGACAACTTTTATGGTCACTATCAGGATCTCGCAGTAAAATATGCTATTTTCTTTGTGTAATGTGAAGGTTGATGTTTTTGAATACGCTCATTAGTGTTGTTGTTACTACCCAAGTTCTCGATGTGACATAACTTGAGATTTGACTTAGATTGACATGGCGGGTGTCAAGAGATGAAGCAGAAGACGCTTTCCCATCCAAAATACCTGGTCTTCCATATTTTGCCTTTGTTTTATCGATTTTGAGTCGGCATTATGGTTTTATTGACACTTCCATATTCCCCCTTTTTCAACATTCCAGGGTAGCAGAGAACGCAAGTGAGCGCAACACCTGGAATGTCAAGGATGCAGTCAAATTCAAAGCTTGAAGTGATATAACTCAAAACACAGAAAATGTTATTTCTTTACCTTCAGTTTCAAATATATAAGGAACCTATCCAAATTATTTTTTTCTTGAAAAGGAAAAGGCTTAAACTACACGTGTACCAACAAGCCGCGTTTTTTTT